TTTGCTTAATTTTAATGAGGAATACGAAATGTAGAGTGTGTGTTCTTGGCTGAGTTGATACTCTCTCCTCTGGGAAAGGAGGTTGCATCGGGATGCAAACTCAGTCTAGGTTCACACCCCAGAACAGTGCTGGTGAAGTCTTGAATTGAAGGTGTCGTCCTTCGGGTGATGCTTTAAATTGAGGGCACACCTGATTGTTGCAGATGTTCAAAATCCTGTAGGAATATTCAAAACGAAAGGGAATTTTTCCTGATATTCTGGCCCACAACTCTCCAGATGAACTGGTTATTTATTTCATGGCTACTTTGTTCATGAGATCTTGATTCGTGTTCAAAATAGCTGCCCCTTTTGCCTGCAGTCATTTTACTTGGCAGTAATTCTCTGTAAGATTATTGAGGCATGTTGATGTTATTGGTGTGAAATCAATTGCAAGAATATTTACTTATTCATTGAAAGTGGAGCACAGAGAAAGGTTCTCTCCCCCACCGATCTGAAAAGGAGATGGGGGAGAAATTCAGGTATCGAGTATCAAACAGTATTTAGTTTTATTTAAAAATATTTTATTTTCTATTTTAAATTATTCCCATAAAAAGTTTTCCATCGGGGGAGAAATATTTTTTCTAGATAAAAAAACTGAACGCAAGCCTCCTCCAACTAGTAATAATGTGCTGATTTGACTATGTATATTATTTCTGCACTGTCTAGACTGTGAAAAATATTTGTTTATTTTTTATTGCTCACCTAATGTCAATGCACATAGCTTCAAACCTTTGGTTTTCTGCTTTTCTTGGAACTATCATGGTCTCCAAGGATATGTACGTCAGTGCATCCAGACAGTTAGAAACTCTACATTGCTTCCCATTCACCAGTGCTATTAAGGACATACAGACATTCCACATTTAAAAACTTTACAATCATTCTATGAGCTGTGCAATCAGAATTGCATATAAGCAAGGCCGAAGTTGTATATTTTTTAGTAAATGTTGCTACATTTTCCATGGATTTAATTTGGTAAAACTTTCCCCATTGTCTGGTTACATTTTTGGATCTGTCACACATTTTCAAAAGATCTGCATCAAAGATTCAGACTTGCGAGATTTGAAGCAGGTGACAGTCTGTGACAAGGCTGAATTACAAATTGAACAGTAATTTAACAGCTATAAAGCCAAACTTTCAAAGCAGGTCTCAAAGCAGTATAAAACAGGTAATTACTGTCTGGTGTAGTAAGTGTTTTTTGTCAGCTAACATAGCAGCCAGTTTGCATGCAGCGAGGTCTCACTTACTGCCATGAGGTGAGTGACCAAGTAATCTGGAGAATTGTTGTCCAGGACACTGGGAGAAACTCCCTCCTCTTTAGCAATAGAACCATTTCATCTTTTACAAGCAGATGGGTTAACGCCTCATTCAAAAGGCAAAGAACACTGCGAGGCCTGTCCCTAGGAATGCCCGGGACGTCAGCCTGGATCTGTGAGCTCAAGTTCTGTTGTGGGGTTTGAACCCATGAGTCCTCTCCTTTCTCCCTAGCTCAGCGTCCAACCCTGCCACTGCGGAGTCCTATAGCTCAGTGGTTAGAGCACTCGCCTTGCAAGCGAGAGACCTGAGTTCAATTCCAGGCAGAGGGCGAAACCTTGGGCAAGTTTCCTTACTCCACACAGAGCCTAATAATAATCTCCAAAATAAAACAATAATAAATTGGTCATTTTCAATCCACGACTGTTTGTGGGACACTGCTGTGCGCAATTTCGCCCACAAATATACAGTCAGTTCACTTTAGTCTATTCTGTGAAGCGCTTTGAGATGTCGAGAAGACGTGAAATGCGCTATATCAAATGCAAGGATTATTATTATTACATTATTATGGGACGTTTTACCCTACGTGAAGGGTGCTACGTAAATGCAAATTGTTGTTGTCTTCATGGGGCTTCAACCCCTAACTTTCTGAATCCGAACGCCACCAATTCAGACAAGTCGACTCCTCCAACGCATCCACCTGACACTGCAGTCATTTTAGGCCAGAAACGGTCTACAACTTGGGTGTGCCGAGAAACAGATAGTTCCACACCGATAAACTGGCCGCCGTGTTTCTCCCCCGAACGTGCACAGTCAATCCACGTTTTCCGATGCGTTCTGTGAAGCCCTTTTGAGACGTCTCAACCACGTGACAAGGCCCTATTATCAAATGCAAGGATTATTATCATCACTATCATCACTATATATATATATATGAGTGCGTGTTAACGTTTTCTTTGTACCCTCGCTGGCAGATCTCGTTGAGGCGGGGTGGTGTCGGGGAGGGCGGGGGTGGGGTGGGGGGGTGGGGGTGTGGTGGTAAGGGTTACGTCAAGGGGAATTCACGGCGTGCGGAAGTCGAGCGCCAGGAAACTTTCTTTTCGAGCAGAGCAGAGAGAAAAAAAATTGTTTTTCAACAAAGAACTTTGTGGCGGCGTCACGTGGAGGGCCATTACACGCAGGAAGCGAGGGAGGGGGAAGTGACTTCCTTTTTTTTTGGGGGGGTGGGGTGGGGTGGGGTTTGGTGGCGACGCAGGTTTGACGGGGACTTTCCAAGCCGTCCGCTGCTGTTGTCTCGTGTCTCCCTTTCCCAAAAAGGAGGCCTTTTTTCCCGGGCTGGTGGGGGGGGGGGAATCCTTACTCCCAGCAGCATCCAAAGGGAACCTTCCCAGTAGACCTAAAGGGATCTTTCGAACAGTTCTGAGGCGCTCCCGGCAGCTTCCGAGGAGTCAATCCCAGCAGAGCCAACGAGTCCTCCAAGGAGAGCCCACCGGTCCTCCAAGGAGAGCCCACCAGTCCTCCAGGAGAGCCAACGAGTCCTCCAAGGAGAGCCCACCGGTCCTCCAAGGAGAGCCCACCAGTCCTCCAAGGAGAGCCCACGAGTCCTCCAAGGAGAGCCCACCGTCCTCCAGGAGAGCCAACGAGTCCTCCAAGGAGAGCCAACGAGTCCTCCAAGGAGAGCCCACCGGTCCTCCAAGGAGAGCCAACGAGTCCTCCAAGGAGAGCCCACGAGTCCTCCAAGGAGAGCCCACCGGTCCTCCAAGGAGAGCCAACGAGTCCTCCAAGGAGAGCCCACCGGTCCTCCAAGGAGAGCCAACGAGTCCTCCAAGGAGAGCCCACGAGTCCTCCAAGGAGAGCCCACCGGTCCTCCAAGGAGAGCCCACGAGTCCTCCAAGGAGAGCCCACCGGTCCTCCAAGGAGAGCCAACGAGTCCTCCAAGGAGAGCCCACCGGTCCTCCAAGGAGAGCCCACCGGTCCTCCCAGCAGACCCGGTAGATAAGTTTTGCGGGGTTTCGTCTGAGAGAGAGAGAGAAAGAAGAGAGAGGGAGAGGGAGAGAAAAGGAAGAGAGAAAAGAAAAAGTCGGCGCTCTCACTGAAAGAGAGAGAGAGAAAAAAAAGAGGAGGATCGCAGCGCCGGGGACAGACGATGGTGAAGTTCGTGTCGGCCACTTACCGCGGGAGCCACAGCTGCCTGTGCTGCCATGTCAGGAGCGGCTGCCTGGCGCTGGCCGCCGTGTACCTGGTGAGTGAGTGAGGAGAGAGAGAGAGAGAGATTACCTCAAAATCTCCTCAACAATACCCCCTCTCCATCCCTCCATCTCCCTCCCTCCCTCCTTCTCTCCATCCATCTCCCTCCCTCCCTCTCCCTCCCTCTCCCTCCATCTCCCTCTCTCTTTCCCTCCATCTCCCTCCCTCCATCTCCCTCCTTCCCTTCATCCTCCCTCTCTCCATGTCCCTCCCTCTTTCCCTCTCCCTCCCTCTCCCTCCCTCCATCTCCCTCTCTCTTTCCCTCCATCTCCTTCCCTCCCTCCATCACCCTCCTTCCCTCCATGTCCCTCCCTCCCTCCCTCCCTCTCCCTCTATCTGCACGACGAGTACAAACGACTCGAAAAGACTCGGTGACTGCGCTGCTGCTGCTGTTGTGGTCGGTCGGTTTTCGTCCTCCCGCCTTTTTCCCCTTTCCCTCACCCCTCCCCCCCCCCCACCCACCGCCCGTTTTAACGGTCTCCAGTCAGGTTGGCGCCGGTGGGAGTCGCGCGCGCCGACCGTTACCGCGCGGGGACGGTGGGAATTTCAGTCAGGGTTCATTAAAGGGGGTGAGGGGTGAGGGGGGGGGGGGTTTGGGGACACACAGGACCTTTCCCCCCTCCCCCTCCCCCTCCCCCTCCCCATCCCAATTTGCATCCCAGTCTTCATCCCGATCTTCACTTGACAGCATATCCCGTGAAGCGCTCCGAGGCGTCTCAGCGATCATTGTCGCCAATCTCCATCCCGGCCTGTATCCCAGCTCACCATCCATTGCCCGTCTCCCTCCCCTCCCCCCCCCACCCCACCCCCATCCCAACTCCTCCCCGTTCTCGCCCAAGAGCCCGACTACCCCGTGTTTTCTTCCCGGTCAGCCTCCCTTTCCGATCCAAGGTTTGCCGGCCGGCTTCGTAAACGGCGCCGACACCCGGCGTCGGATGCAGCGCCTTTATCGCGTCGCGACCTCTCGGGAGCGCTTCACACGGCGGTTACTGTGAAGTGCGGTGACTGTGCTTTTGTAGGTGAATTTCATGCGGCGCAATGTCCCGCAAACAGCCATCCCATGGAGTCCTGTAGCTCAGTGGTTAGAGCACTCGCTTTGCAAGTGAGAGACCTGAGTTCAATTCCAGGCAGAGGGCGAAACCTTGGGCAAGTTTCCTTACTCCACACAGAGCCTAATAATAATCCTCCAAAACCAAAAACAACAATAAATTGGTCATTTTCAATCTACGACTGTTTGTGGGACATTGCTGTGCGCAATTGGCTGCCGCGTTCGCCCACAAATATACAGTCAATTCACTTTACAGTGTGTTCTGTGAAGCGCTTTGGGACGTCCTCCTGACGTGAAAAGCGCTATATCAAATGCAAGGATTATTATTATTATTATTATTATTATGAAGTGTGAGGTTGACCAATTTTATCTGGAGCGATTGCCAGCCAAGGAGAGACCCCCCCGTCTCTTTTTGAGATCTTTAACAACCATCTGGACAGGCACAGGGGGATCTGGGTTTAGCTTCTCTTCCGAAAGACAGATGGGTGTTTGCGGGACTTCATTGTGTGCAAATTTTTGCTGCTGCTGCTGTTTGCCTTCAAACTACACAAGTCACTGCACAAGGGTCACTACACAAGACCCTCAAGATGAATTCGCAAGCGCTCTTTTTAATCCATGTGCCTAAAACAGACGGAGAAGATGTTTAACCTTGTGGTAAATGTTCTTAAATATTTGATCATTGTCGAATTGCTTCACTGTCTTATCATTCTATTCTTAGTCATTTCCCTCTCTTTCATTCTGCCTCTCCACGTTTCTCTTTGAATTTGACTCCCAATTTGAAAGCATGGAATATGATTTATTTAAACATCAAGCTGATCCCACAAACCACCCTTCAGCCTATTTTTTGGAAATCATGTCCATTCCCAGAAGCTGATTTGACATCATCTGGAGATCTAGGGCAATTCAGCAAAATACATATGAAGGGGAAGCACTTCTTGCGTTTCAGAATTTCAAGTTAGTGTTTAGGGTACAGGTTGGAGGTGATTTGGGTTTGATGTCGTTTTCTACTAACCTCAAATGTTATTTATTTTTAGCATGTTCAATTGCATGGTGGGGTGTAGTTGTTCTGCGGGTTATTCCAAATATGGTTATCAGAGCATCTCAATGCTTTGTGTGTAATTGCTGTGCTGACTCTCTGTAGACAGACATGGCAGCCATTTTGTGCAGAGCAAAGTCCAGGACTGCCAGGTGAGCTCCTTGGATTAATGTTTGATCCAAAAGCCAGCAATTTTAGCAATGCAATGCTCCCCAAGCACTGCACTGGAGTATCAACCTATACTGAGACCATTATTCTTAAGTCTTGGGTCCTGAGATGTAAAAATGTCATCAACTTCAATCTTGGCCAATTATACCACTGCATTGAAATCCTTCTGTTATAGCTATGCTTGTGAGGTGCTTTAGAATAGACCTGTTGTATAACAGCATGAATTGATTTGGTTGAAATGGAATGAGAACTTATTGGAATGTGATGTTGAAGTCTTGTACACTTTGTCTTGTACCCTAAACACTGTTTTGTGCAAGAACTCACTCTCAACAAGATAGCGCAATGTCTATGGTTTGCAAGTGCTGAATGCAACTACAGGAAGGAAACTGATCATGCAGATAAAAAGCAAAGCTGTTAGAACTGTGTTTTTCTGGAGCAAAAGATTGTGTTAGATCTGATCTGATGCTATTTTCCCACACTGTCATGTTGTAAAATGATCAAGTAAAATCAAAAGTTCAGAACTGATCCTAGACTTCTCAGCAGTTTATTCCTCTGTTATGTACCAAATAAAGGTACATCTCAAGACCTACCTACCAGTACTGTTAAGCACTTTGAGATGACCCCCAACACGAAGGGTTCTCAATAAACATAAATGTGTATTGTAAATAAGCAGGAATCTTCCATACAAATTAACACATGATTGGCTTTTATTAGTCAAACTCTTTACAGATGAGGGATGAGAGCCAGAGTACTATGAGCTTTCAAGCTAGATTGTCTTAATGCAAATAAGTAGCAAATGATAGTTATGGAGAAGAAGAGCTCGGTATCATTTATAAAGTGACACACAAGGGATCAGATCAGTTTGAACACTTCAATTTGTTTGCATCATATTCAGTGAACATTGTTTACAACTTAANTTTTTTAAGTTATGGCCATCCATTCTCCTTCCAGGAATGACATAGCTTGGTTCCTCGAAGCAGGCATTTAGATGGAAGTGTAATTGCCCTTAGGTATATTTGATCAACAGATTTAAGATGTTCTAGAGATTGTGAAGGATACTCCTCTACTAAGCAATGCTTTTCTGTAAACCGTAGGCCAATGTAGGAAGAATCTGAACAATATTTGGCATAAATGTTAATTTTTGGAGTTTTGTTTCTTTGCTTTAAAAGACCTGATCACCAATTTGAGTGGGAACAGACCGAGAAACAGATCACTTTGCTCTTGTGGGTTGGAGGGCAAAATGGAACCCTTGTTGTAGATTTCGCATACATATCCTGTGAAGCGCTTGAGATATCTCGATGACGTGATGGGGCACAATATCAAATGTAAGGATTATTATTATAGGAACATGGGAACAGGAGGAGGCAATTCAGCCCTTCGAGCCTGTTCCGCTATTTAATTAGATCATGACTGATCCTTACCCCAACTAATCCTTTCAATTCCAATTTCCCTCTTCTCCCCATATTCCTTAATTCCTTGACCTACCAAAAATCTATCAACCTCACTCTTGAAGGTGTGGATGGTTGACCGTGGATAAATAATGGTGAAATTATTTAAGAAAGAAACTTCAATCAGAAAATGAACATACTCGAGGCTTACAGTTAATCTAGTCAGCTCGACTCTTACACTTTGTAGTTAACTTAAAAATGAGAGAATGCTGAATGACCATTTATTTTCTATGAATGTGCACAGAATAGTTAACAGAATATTGTATGTTCTCTCAGATCACTTGGTCTACAATGGCTGTAGTTGAAATGGTGAAATTGTTCTGGCCAGATTCCTATACTGGTGAAATCGCCTACAAGAAATGTAAGTACATTATGGATTTTGTTTTTAAATGAGATTCTTTTAATTTCTGCAGTTTTCCTCTCTTGTGCTTCCTGCTCAGAGTGTCAATGTTCGCCTTACAAATGTTTAATAAAATGGCTCATTGTAAAAGAGATTCTCTAAAAGCGACAACCGAGTGCAGTGAATGACATTATATGACACATACTGTATAAAATGTTTTCTCTTTCAGTCGACGATGTGTCATATTTCGTCTGTGACCTTTTGATGGTTTTTATCAGTGCAGTCACAATTTATGGAATTTTCAGGGTAAGGATTATTTTCTTTATGTGATTATTGTGAAGGGCAAGGATTTAATAATGAGGCGGGTGAATATACTTTTTTTAATCTTTGGTGGTCCAAAGAATCTGCATGCTTTTTTTAATATTCTATCAGATGTGTACTGAATATATTCCATCAACCTGTAATTCTTCCTATTAATGAGTAATTTTGTCTCGTTAGAGTGCAGTGATTAGATTTCAAATGAGATTAGTAGACTTAATTCGAGGAAAAGAAAAATTGTAAATGATGTCTTAATTTTAGAATATTGTCAGCTTCCTAAATTAAATTTGCATATTTCACAAGGGGTTTAGTTTTCCTAATTACTTTTTTCTCTTCTCTCACCTCTCCTAGTATCGTCCAAGACTTATGGCCCCATTCTTAATCTACTTGATAGTGGAATTTATCGTTTATTGCATTGAAGTACTTTCTCTGTACATTCCTCTTCCCTCTTATGCACACCCCAAGAACTACATTTCATATGTGGTAAGCACAAAATCCTGATCAGTAAATCGTTTGAAGCAAAGTTTCCACATGTTGTTCCTTTGTAATCACGTGTTTCTATTTCTAAGATCATAGAATTAATTAATTAAGAAATAAAATGTGTTCAAACAATTTGGAGCCTTCTCGTAGGCTGTCATGGAATCTTAAATAACTTATCATTGCAAGGATCATTATCGTTACTTGTACTATAAAATTAGTTATCAGTTTACACCATCTGTGAGATAATTGTAAATTTGTCTGAAAAAGTAAATGTTTTTTACACTCTCTCTCTCTCTCCAAGTTTTACTTTCCAGAAAATGATGTTGTATCAAGCCTCTCCATCAAGGTCATGTTGATGTATACAGTTGTGTATGCAATTGTTCTGGGTGTTAAGGTAAGGGATAGGAATATTGCAGTAAAGGTGATAAAATTCTGTTCTCATTTCTTTTTAAAAACTACAAGCATAAAATATACCTTTATGGTTAGCTAATTTAGTCTTTTGAGCACTTGGGACATCATCACGCCGTGAAGGGTGCTATATAAATATAAGTTGTTGTTGTTATTTGTTATAGTTGTGCTGTTAGATGAAAGCTGTGTCTCCTGCTGATTAATGTTAGTATACTGTCAAGTCCAGGACTTTTTGATTTCTCAAGTCTTCAAAAGACTTTAAACTATTTTTCTCAAATTTAAACCAGGAGGCTTCTGTTTTGTATGAAACATTAATTCCATTTCAATCAAATTAAGTGGACTCTTGTTCTGATTGCCCCGCAGATCTTCCTCATCCAATCTGTTTGGAATTGCTACAAGTACGTTAAGGAAAAGGAAGAGGAGAACAGCCTTGTGCAAGCCGTCATGAAGTTTCGCTCAGAGGTAAAGGTTCTGACATTGGCCTGGGGAGGAGGGGAAGCATTTCAAGTCTCTTTTCTCCCATAATTTGGGTAGTAGTTACCGTGCATCTTACAATAAGGTTTTTTAGTTTGAATGAGATTTTGGATGAGATTTAATAACCATTTAATACTCTGTTTTAGCCAGATGTTATTTACAAAAAAATGTACAAAGCACTTGCTTTAAAATGCATGCGGGCAGTAGATCCAGGGCACCAGGGTACAGCTTTATTTAAAAAATATAAAAATTCTATGGTAATGCAGACATCAAATAAAATATTTAGTACAGGGCATCCTCAAAGTTTCTTACAAGGAGCTCAGGGAAGAATAATATTGATACCAATCAAAACTTGTAACATGCCAAGATAGCATGTTTGTGTATGCATTTTAAAAGGTTGGAATGGGACCAGTATCCTGTGGTAGGTGTTTCAGAAGTTAACCGTTGTCTTTTAGCAGTACAGCATAAATAATCTACATTGTACTTTTTTGATATTCACCTTTTATTATTGTTCCCTCGCGGACTCATGGCGCTAGTCCAACTGAGCTGCTGAAGGGGAAAAAAATAGCCATTTGTTAAAAAAAAGGCCAGATATATTAATGAAATCCACTCTGTTATTACGAGGAAGTATTTTTCTTTTGGGGCGTATTATGACAGAAGGCAAGCATTCTACTCTCAGGTCATCTCTAGCACATTTCAAGCCTGTCATTTGGAGCTAAATGGATAGTTTTTGTGGTGCTGCCAGCCCCTTTCACTGCGTATGAAATTTATGCGCTCCACAACTCCCAGCGTTGGGACGCCTGAGATTTGCAACTGAGCATGAGGAGGTTGTGGACATGAGCCTATATCATTGGCAGAACACATTGGTTTTCTGTATATTTGAACTCCTACAAATGTGTTACTTTGAGTGCCTTCTGGTGTTGGTTCTTTGTTATTAGAGCAACAAGATCTCTAACCCAGAGAAAGGCTTCAGTTGGCAACCATTTCAGTGGTTTTGGACCACTTCATTTGCTACTTATCCGAATGGTGTTTGAAAAGCTCGCAAAGACCTGGCAGGGGTGCGAGATGTTTTATAGTCTCTGTAAATGGTTCCTTTTTGTAAAATTCATTGTAGTTTATTTGTGCAAGTCATAAAGCATTACGACATACAACATTGGCTCGTATGGGTTTACAAAGCCACAGCAATGTCTTCTTTGAATTTTGCTTGGCAACTGATTCGGGAGTGCAGCTTCCAGTGTTGCTCACATTCTTAAAATTTTAGAAGACGTCACTTGTATAAAAAGTGAAGTATGAATAGCAGGAGGGCATATTTACATAATCTTACATTAACTCCCAATTTCTATTGTGGGAGATCATGGATGCCATGCTGCAAGCGTAATCTGTTGTAGTGTCAACTGTCTAAATAAAATAAGGGAGCACTAGAGACAGGATTTAAAAAAGGGGATTATAATAGTGTGATTGAGAAGAAATAGGGAAGATGTAAAGTATTATGAATGTGTAGGCATTAAAAGCAGGTGGTAAGAATGAAATAGAACAGGAAGGCTTAGAAACAGTCCTGGGATTAATATAGAAATGTGTGATAAAGTGTTGATGTGCTAGAATGCTTTGGGTGTGTCACCGGAACAGAATACAGAAGTTATGTTGAGGTTTTGCAATGTACTGAACATTCACATATGGTCTTGCACTGTAAAACATGAGGAAAAGACCAATAAACCTGTGTGTGTTTTTCATTGTCTAGTTTGCAAATACTTTTAATTATAGGGATAAGTCTAAATCCCACCTTAATGAAACAGGAGTAGATTTATTATCCCTTAGTGACAAAACATGTGTTAAAACGTAAAGTCGGTTAACATATACATGTATATGATTGAAAAATAATGAAACACCTCACAGTACAGTTACTTAGCTTGTAGGAAGAAGAGTTAGAATGAATAATGAAGAGAGTTGTGGGAGAAGAGATGAAGCTTTCATCTATAGGGAGAATTACCCATTGACTTCAATTCAAACATCAATGGAAGTGACAAAATGTATACTTGCAGAATGTAGATATAACTCATGAATGTTGGACATTAGAGCAGTTTATTTACAGTCTCAGTTGTCAGATTCCATCTTGAATTTGTAAAATATTCTTGTTTTTGGGTTTTTCAACTAGGAGGACAAAGTTAAATAACAACAACTTGCAATAAATATATACCCCTCACGCAGGGTAGCGTCTCAGAGTGCTTGAAATAGTGAGTATAGCATAGAGAGTTCTAAAAAAATGATCTATGTCTGTAGAATATAAATCTTGCCTTTAATATGTATGAACATAGGGCAGAAAATGTACAGTTAATGTGACTAGTCTGTTACTACTGTTAGTGTACTCTTAATCTACCTGAAGGCTTCTTCTATATGAAGGCTACTTTTCCATGGCTCTTAAGAATAATTTTTTAAACAGATTTTTGCTTAAAAGTAGTCAATCGCACAAGGATGCAGTTCTTTTTAGTTTTAGCAAACCTGCAATTCCTTGAGCAAGTTGTGATTGCTTATATGTGAAAGTTAGACTGTGAGCATAATGGCTTGCCATTAATCCATGAGACACATCACACGGGTTTCAATTTCCCCTGCACCTGCTTTCCACCAAGAGTCAGGAAACAGCAATTAAGAAAGTGGTTTGTTTTTTCCCCACCTCATTGCTGAGTCTTAATTGCGCAACTGAGATCAGATGAGATTTCAATCCTTCCTCAGCTGTATGCTTCAGCACCATAGTGCATTTACTTTTATTCTTCGAAATTAGCTTAGCGTGTCTGTGCGCAACATGGCACAGTACTGAGCCATACAAACCGGGAACATCGCCAACTTGATCCTTGTGATGAGGTGCATTAATCCCTGATCTCCATTTGGTGACCTGCTACAGTGTCTCCTCAGCGTCTGCAGGCTGACAAGAGGAAACCGCTGCCTTGGTTGCTGTGCCCGTTGTTTGACTTGTGAAGTACAACGGGAGATGAAGCTCCGTTAGCTTACCAGGGCCACCATTGGCCACTGATCCATACCTCAACAGAGTTGTGGGGGTGGGGGGCGTGGGGAGGGAGAGAAATAATGAGGTGGAGCCTTTCTGGTTTGTGTCATAAGGTAATTTGGACAACTGCATTGGGTTTAGTCATAAAGACTGTTTATCTGAAGGCAGTGTATTCCTTCTTCCATTTGTTATGCAAACTTTGCAAAACTCTCTCATTTGAAACGAATGTATAATACAATGTGGTTTTGTTTTGGATTCAGAACAACCCACCGGCCTATGAAGACATTGGGAAGATGCCACCATATGATGAAATTGTAAAGATGCCACCAAAGGAATTCCTATTTTACGAGCCTCCCCCGGCTTACAGAGCAATGTAGCTCAGCTGCCACTTAGTGACTATTTGCATAAAGCTGTAACTATCAAAATGCTGGTATGCAACGTTATTGTACCATGTAATGTGCCTCCCAGTTTAGAAACAGTATTACATTTTCTGACTGTTTTCTGAGACATCCCTTGACACAAAAGTTCTGAACCAGTGTAATTTCTTATTTTTGAACGAGAGAATTGACATTTATTTTGTATTGGTCATTTAAAATCGAAATTGTGACCTTGAAACCTTCCAGTTTAGATACGACCCACAGTTTATTCTTCTAGATTATCTGATACTACCTCCTAAATAACTCTCCTTTTAACTATTTGAGCCAAACTTTGTCACTTTTTTTTTAACATTCCTGATATTTGTGCAGACCGCAATATATTTTAGCATCAGCACATAGGCATCTGTTGCTGAATCTTTTTAGATGTGTTGCACTCAGATTAGCGATTTATTGTTTAACTGATAGAAGATGAAATGTGTAGGTTGGTACACAACTCAAACAGCTATTTCTTCAAGAACTGATTTCAAATAGACATGTTTTCTTCATTTAAACTCTCTGCATAAGAGATAAAAGCTTAATCCCATTGCATTTTTTTATGATCTGATATTTTAACTTTAATATCTTCATCCGCATAAAAGAACACATTGACTCCAGTGTCACCTGATATTACTTTGATGCACATTTCTGGATGTCAGTTGACAGGGTATGTGTTTACAAATGAATTCAGCAATTAATAAGTGAATGTGTTTAACTTCAAATATCAGTGCGGAAAAATAAATGCTGTGAGCACTGACTAAATAGATTTGAATCATAACTTAAATATTGTGGGGCACTGCAACTTAATTATCTTCTACTAATCGACTGTCAGTCCAAAATAAATTGGTTTGATCAGTAGACTCTTTGCAGTTGTCTGTGACAGCCAGAAAGTTATCAGTAAAAACTTTAATTCTCCATGTTTTAGACTTGAGAAGATTTTAATCCAAATTCATTCTTGTAAAATACCAGGTACAAATTCCTCCAAATTCAATCCTGATAACCTTATGGATAATCGGTTTTCCAATTGAGAATCAACAAGACAAAACCCTTTTACGAACCTGCGAGAAGTAGTTCTCTTTATCATTGTAGTCAACAAATTCAAATAGCCCAGAGAAAAGAGAGCCAGAACGAAAGCGTGCAAATCATTCGTATTCATGGCTTGTCTTAAAGAGATAAAATGAAGAATGGGCTAACATTCAACTTTACTTATGAAAACTACAGATTAGCAAGATATGGGCTGTTTTCTGGATGATTTGTCAAGTGTAATCCCAAATGAATGTTTCAAACAACCAAGTATTGATTCAAATCTATTTCTGGCAGTGCTCTTATGGTAAAGATTCCCTTTCCTCTCTTTCAAATCCATTTTTTAAGAACGCAATGAAACCGCTTCAAATTTGCCAAGTGGCTTGAAATGCACCATCCCATGTTGCTCATTTCTATTAAGCGTGTTAGTTTGATTAACAGCCTTCTGATAGTTTTTTTGTGTGTCTGTAACACTGCATCTTTGCACTGTGCCTGATGTTAAGCAGTTGGGTTCATTAGACGATCAAAATGCTAAAATATTGCTTAAAATCTGCAATTTGCTAGAAATAAGATTTAGGGTTGGAATGCATATGGCTTCCAGCATCTCTTCAGCATTCAAGTGTATGCACAAATTTGAGTTTTAACTGCATAGAATCTGGCCTTGCATTTTAAAGATTTGCATATTTTAAAATCTGTGGTACTTTAAATAGCTGAATTGTAGCAAATATAGCGATTCACATTTTGAGAAGTTGGTAATTATCTTCAATTCGCGCATCTTACCTGACTGCTTATGTGAAATGGCAATGTTATTTTCGCAAATAAAGTGGCTATACGATTATTTTTGAAAGAAATGTTGTTTTTCTCCATTTATTTTGAAACTTTCTTTGGAGTTCTGTTGATTAGCAGCGGAGATAAGTGAGCGTTGTACAGATTGCCACTCAAGACACGTGTCGTCACATTGAAGTAAAACCAGAGGATACAGCCTGCGATTGAAAGGGGCTAAATTCAGAACAAATCTACGGAAACACTATTTCAGCTGTTGAACAGGCTCCCTAGGGAGACGGTTAAAGCAGGAAGTGTTGATTCCTTCAAACACAAATTGCACAGATTCGCCCACAAATATATACAGTCAATTCACTTTACAGTATATTCTGTGAAGCGCTTTGAGACCTCTAGAAGACGTGAAAAGTGCTGTATCAAATGCAAGGATTATTATATTGGATAGTTTTAGGAAATAACATGGGATATGGATGTAGGTACATTGGGACATATGTGCATGCGAAGAAAGGTGAAGGCGAACTAGATGGACCTTGGTCTTTTTCTCCAACATTTCTTATGTATCGGGAATCAGAGAGCTATTTGGCAAACATTAATTGAAGGGTAAAGAAATATAGTGAGATATTTTGTTTTCTTCAACCAGATAGACCGGCCTGGTTCTAGACTTTTCTGGCCCTGTACATTTCTCTTATAATATCCTTGCATTTGATATCGCAGCTTTTCATGTCAAAGCATCTTACAGCACTTAATAGTAAAAACTGCTAAGTGCAGTGACTGCTATAGGTGAACACCGTAGTCAATCTTTGTACAGGGATGTCCCACAAACAGCCAGAAGGTGAAAGACCATTTATCTGGAGGATTGGTGGCCAGGACACTGGAAGAAACTTACCTTTTCCTTTTGAATAGTGCCACGGGTTCTTTTAACGTCCACCTGAACTGGCAGAGGTGGCCTCAGATTAACATCTCATCCAAAGGAAGGCACCTCCAAGAATTGTGAGGATGGATCGGTTAATAGCCACTCAATAGCTGTTCGACCCAAATAGAATGGGAATTTAAAATAAAGCATATGCCTGGTCAGAGATCAGAAAAGAAATGAAAATAAAAACAGTTTAGAGTAGGAGAGCGTGTTGCCTATAAGAGGTCTCGTTTCACAATTAATGAGAATTATTTTCCTTTTGCAAACAAAAAAAATCTTGCCTGCCAGTGGAAAATGTAGCTTTGAAATTGAAAATATCCAGTTGATTTTTGTTTAAGCAAGGCAAATGGTAGTTTTTTTACTGGGCAGTTAGTGAAATAAACTGCTTCATAGTCCAGAATTTGCAATTAACAGAACGGTTCAGTCGTGTTCAGGTGCTGCAATTTATCGCTGGCACATATTCCAAGCAAAGATTGAGAACTTCAACAATCTGCCTTTTCTTTGAGAGCTTAAAGTACGCCACAGCATAGTTGTACTTAAGAAAACGTTATACATATCTTGCATCCACATAGATGGAGATCTGTTGTGAGCGGAATTCCTGGCAAGGTATTGGTATACATAAATATTTACCGAGTCCGAGTTTGTTCCTGACTTAATCAGTGGTGGTGTAGCTTTCCCACAACTTTAGATATAAGCAACTGTTTGTCTGCCCCTGAGCTGTGTGAAATTTCATGGGGTTTTTGCTGAAGTTGCACCCAACCAGGTTTAAGGAATCGTCCGTTTTAGAGTTAAAGAAACTCAAGATTCCTCAAAGCAAACGGCAATTTACTGAACATTTGGCAAAAACGTAAAGTTTTATCTGCAACCAGACATTGCATTGTGTGATCCAACACAGAACTACTGTTGCTGCAGGGGTTATTTTCAAGAAAAAGTCTGTCAGTTAAATTTGGCTGAGGGTGGGAGGAAGCAATAGTTATTTTAGTGGTTAAGTTTGCAATAAAGGAACAAGAACCCTTGCAGAGAAAAATGCGTTGTATAAACAAAACCAGAAAAGAGGCCTTTCAGAGTAGCCCCAAGTTCCTTCAGCTCGTGTCGCTGTTCGCAAGACACTTCCCGGCTATTCGTTTAATCTACTGTATAAACCTAGTGTTCGGAATCAGTCAGAACAAATCCTAGCATTCTTCCATCGTTTGAATTCCCTTCACCGCCAAAATTTAGTAGTAATTGGGGAGGGATTTTTTTTTACCCTAAGTAAAAATTTGGAATGCAAGCACTTGTGAGGACAAATTCAGCATTAACCTTCACTGGTTAAGACGGTGCCAAAACTCCCCTTAAGAAATGAATTAAATTATGCACTGCAATATTGAAAGGTAATTTGAGAGCCATTGCCTAAAAACAGGGCACCAACCCACAGATAGAGCAGATAGGAACCTTCACAGGAGATGGTTGGGGGGGGTTTAAGTTACTAAAGGTTAAAGGATATGTATCTTTTGTTGTCTAAGGCTTGATGGTTTACCGGCAAAGGCATCTGAGTGGATTCAATTCAATATAAGTGGGTAAAGGAACTTCACAAAGTAAATAATGTGGGTGGTCAGTGTATATAACTAGATAATAAACTCCTACCTATGGCGTATGAGACAGATAGCGAGTATATTTGTTTCCAAAGTATTTAATAAAAGTCCATTGCAAACCCAAGCCAGTTGGTGCTGTAGAACTCTCCTGATGAAACACTTTAATAGATTGTTAACCAGGTGCAGCAAAGTCCAGGGGAACCTGGAATCTTGATACTGAGAATACCGATAAGAAAACAATACATTGATGGTAGAAAACAGATCAAAGTTCAAGATGTAGCACCAAAAGAAAAAAAACTTTTATGCGCAACCCAAAAGTACTTATTAAACTTCTTCCAAAGTAAACCTTTACGCCAATTAAAACAAGTTGATAACTATAAACCTGGTTGGGTGTGCAGTACAAAAATAGGACACTACTTTCTTTAGAAAATGTCCTACTTGTTGCTTCCCTAATGTTATTATAGTATTTTCCTCTCACTAGCTCTTGACTCACCCACCCCTTTACCAATTGATTTCCTGTGGGTTGGTGGGTGGGTTTTCCAGGTTTACCTGTTTACTTGTTTGTTTGCTTTGGTCCTACTCAATTTCAAGTGTTTGTATTGTTCCATTTTATATCATTCACTCCGCAAATTAACAGCATATTCATTTGTTTCCCTTCAAATGCATTCACGGTCGTCTGGGGAATAGTTTCTTCAGTGTTAGGCTTCAAAGCTTTTCCAGGACTCCTCCAGGTATTTCACACGTGCCAGACTACATTCCAGCCTCCCTGAGGGATGGCATGTTATACGTTAGACCCTCTCGTTCTCTCTGCCACACTTTAGTCTGCCTGCAGCTTACGATACTACAACTCCTCGCCGATCAGGATGAAGGGACTTTTGAATGGATTGCTTCTCTCTGCCTTAATCCTCTGTGAAGTTCATGGAGTACCAAAAACCAAACCAAGTCCACAAGTCCCAGCCGGTAAGAATAAATTTACAACTTAAATAGTACATTAATTATCATTATATAATACATTAACGCCACTTGATTTTTTAAAAATAAAGTCCAGTTCTGCATCCCTGTGGCATGTTGTTTGATGTACTTTTTTAAAATTAATTCCGAAAGACACAAGTTTCTTAACGGTGTGAAATTCAGTTGACGCTCAGTGTTTTCATTGAACTCTTAAGCGTTTTATTAAGGGTCTAATTCCGATAAATGGCCCAAGACAAATTTTTGGTGGGTGGTTTAAATAAAATAATTTTTAAAAAAATGCTTAAAAAAATATATCGCTGGTGAAGATTCAAAAGCCTCTTCGTTACTGGAATCTCAACTCGAAGTTATTCTCAGCATCAGTTGCACTTTGGGCAGCTGTGTGTTGCTATAGTTTATGTACGTGTGTGGTGTGTGTGAGAGAGAGAGAGGGTGAGGTGCTCTGTTCTTAGGAAAATTGTCATACCAAGATTTTTCGATTCAATCCCTCGCCAATCCCTCATACAGTAAACTGTTAAGTCATTACTCTATGGGAAACTCCAGTGACAAATTATTCAGAGTAACAAGTTAGGCTTATGAATACATAAATTACCGTGACAGGGATGTTAACAGCTCAATGACTTAAAAGGTAGCAACAGGTTAAGCCAAGGTCGAGGTATCAGGAGTTTACCGTACACCCAATGGTCAAATTTGGGGCAAGACACAGTCCATCCCTTTCTTAATGCAGACAAATACCAAGTTTTGAATGGATGTTGTTACACATTGAAACAACTGTTTTATTCCCCCCCTTAATTCTCTCCCCTTCTTTCCTGAAGCTGCAGTGCCCAGTCAGAATCGTCAAGCGCCTTTTTTGGGGCGATGTGAAAGGCGTTGGCTGTATCAGCATAAATTGGACTGTGTTGAGAATAGTGTCTCTCGGTGGCGGGTTTTTTTTTTCACAGGCTCCTCGAGTGTCACTTTCCGGTCAACCAGTGGCTGTGATAATGATGGTCCCGAGTGTGTTTGTGTGGGGATGTGTAATGTTTTGTATAAAATAGTAATAACACCCAACAACAGCAACGAGAAGATTACATTTGGAGGATGTCCCAAGGCTCTGGACAGAGCACAGCATTTATACCCAGCATCTCATGTTCAAAAGTAGAGCTTTATCAGATGCTTGAGGACTATTCAAAAAAAAGAAACAGTGATGATTTATTTGTGGCACTGTATGCGTTTACCTTTAACTTTAAACTGAGTGGTTAGACTGTGGTCAGGCACTTTGGCACGTCTGAGTCTGTAGCCTGATGAGGTTTGCAAGAGGAAGTCAGCATCAAAATGATATCAATTAAACATTTTTAAAAAAGCGTGAGCATTAATCCAAGCTGGAAACCAGTTTGAACGAACGCAAACTGTATGCTATATACGGGCTTTGGTGATATTCCCGACAGGAAAAGGATGAAAGAGAGTCTCTCCCGGTGTCCTGGCCGACATCTTATCAGATAAATTGATCATTCACTTCACAGCTGTTTGTGGGACATCGACGTGTGGAAATTGGCTGCTGCGTTCGCCTCCAAAATAACAGTGACAGTCACTTTACAGTGAAAACCTGCAAAGTGCTTTGAGACAGTTCATGGCGCTATGTCAGATGCAAAGTTTATTTATTTATCCAAGCGATTTTCCACAGCAATAGCTAAGTAGAGTAACGAGCATGTAAAAAAATGATCGCAGTTGCTTAGTGTTATCCTGTCGGCATTTTTTCAGTTCTCAAAGTGAAATATTACTCTAGGAGGGAGTACTGAACACATTTGGAATATCATGTAATGCTTCTCACCGGCCTTAGTTTTTGCAGGAACTTTTTTTTAACATTAAAAAAATATCAATTTGCTCTCATTGTTTTCTGACATCCTGAATCGCGGCATTGGATGTGATGAGTGAATCGCTCGCTTTCCTAACCCTGCTGGTCCTTGACAAATCGCATCAAGAATATTGCGATTCGTAAAAACTCCTTGGGCTGTTTCTCACAGCATCGAGTTGTTTACCTTAAACTGCCGCAGCAACAACACGGGGCAGAGCTACTCAGATCTAGACAATATTAATAACAACATGGATAATAAAAGGCATGGTTGCACTTGAATAAAGCCTCTCAGCGTCCAATTGTGGGGTAGGATGTAAGATGTTTAAAGTCAAGCCTTGTCTCACAAATGAACCTGACTCCAGCATTGCCCTGAAAAGATAATAAATTAACAAAATCAATGCTAAATTACCCCCAGTAAAGACTGAATGTATGTCCCACAGGTATTGTTTAGTATAAATATTGAATTGCTCTTAGGACCCGTGATTTAGGTTTGTGAGTTAACTGCCGAGGATCACTCAATAATTTATTTCTTTTCCGTTCCTTGACTAAAAAAAAGGGTCACTCAATCCACAATTGCAGTGTGCCATTGTCTGCCACGATTTGCCTGGAAAATGCACAGTCAATTCACTTTAGAGGTGCTTTGAGACGTCTCAACGACGTGATAACGCGCTAAATCAAATGCAAGGGTTAATATTACTACATATCACTTGACTCCCACAGTAGTAAGCGCTTTGAGACGTCTCGCAGACCTGATAAGGCACTGTATCAACTGCAAGGAATGTTATTATTATACAATTTCTCTTCCTTTTTTGGCTTTTTGCTGTTCTAGGCTCCGCTTTCATTGTCTGTTTGTCCCTTTTGTCCCTGTTTCCATGTGCTCTCGCAGGTCTGTGTCGGACAAGGCCGACCGATATGATCTTTATCATCGACAGCTCCCGTAGCGTGCGTCCTCACGAATTCGAGCAGGTGAAAGTGTTTGTGTCCAAGGTGATCGAATCCCTCGACATCGGGCAGAACGCAACCCGCGTGGGGGTGGTGAACTACGCCAGCACCGTCAAGAACGAATTCCCCCTGAAGGCGCACTTCACCAAGGCTAGTCTCCTGCGAGCCGTCTCCCAGATCCAACCCCTCTCCACCGGCACCATGACCGGCCTCGCCATACACTTTGCCGCCAACGTGGCTTTCAGTGGGATTCAAGGGGCAAGGACGCGGTCCTCGGAAGTCAGCAAGGTAACACTCGGACAGCTTTCCTCTTCAAAGATAAACAGAGCAAGAGACGCAACACGTCTCTGTATTGTTTCAAATCGTTTTAAAACGACGCGGGGTAAATTCCACCCGGCGGGCTAACATGTACCCTGTTTGGGTAACAGCCCCAGAGTGTCCAGACTCCTGCGAATTGTTCAATTTAGCCTTGAATTTGAAGTCTCTTTTTTAATTGTGTTCTGTAGCCCGTAAAATGAAGCTTACAGAAAACCCTCGTCCAAAAATCAAGGCCACGTTTAAAGAATTTGCCAAATTCTGGTCGCTCCGAAAAGCTACAACGCGGAGTAACTCTGGACCCAGGTGAAATTTACCCCCCACATTAATTTTTTTGTTGTTGATGAGAGGACAATTCCCTTTCTTTTGGACTGGCAAAGGATTAAGTAACTTTATAAGGCATCAGCTGTCAGCGCAGACAACCTTATTCTTCTGCAGATTACTTTCTACCTTTACCAAACCTGATATCTTTGTTTCTCTCCCCTCCGCGCCCCCCTCTCCCCCTCCCCTCTGTCTCTGCTTGCTTTGGTGCTGGCTTTGGCATTAACAGTACAAGGTATAAAGATATCGGGTTTGATGAAGCTATCATTCAGTGAACGCAGAATAAATAGTACCCTTGGAAGATAGGTCAACCGGGGGTTACTTACGTTTCGAAGCTTTGCATGTGCTGGGCCAGCTGGTCGCGAGCACAATCAATAGTGGAAATAATACACCATTGTGCCCGGTTAGTGGGAACAAACGGTACCGTTTGAACTTGTGTCAGGACACATCCATTGTCGTTGCGTACTCCTACAATTTTAAAGTGTATCCGCTCTTCCCTACTCCGTGCCATGATGTGTCCGCAGTTTCGGTGACGGGCTGGGATCAGTGTTATAGTTTTTCGAAACAATGCCCCCATTCAGAATTCCCCCTCTTGATCTCGTATTATGGTTTTCTTTAAAAAAAATTGCCTTTCAAACATTTGTTATTGTCGGATAAAGCCGTTTAATACTAAACTTTAATCTGCCAAAGTGAATAATCATCTTTACAGTTTGAATCTTCTGAAAGACCATTCACCAAATCGAAGCCCTTTTTGTTATTAAAAAAAAAGACAGTCATTCCTGGAATTTAGTTTCAAATAGGGAAGGAGAGTTTCTCTCACGATGTCCTGGCCAACAACCCTTCTATTCCCTTCGATCATGGCTTTACGGGAGAAGGTTGCTGTGAACAAATTGGCTGCTCCGTTCAGCTACAAAATACACAGTCACTCCACTTGGCGGTAAAAAAAAATCCAGTGGATGGATTTGTGCTGCATTTATTTATGTATTTTTTCCATGTGCCTAACTTGCCTAACTCGGGATAACAGGAGAAACTGAGTCCTTTTTCTCTCGGAGCAGCCAGTTATCAGGAGTTTGCTGTAATTCTAGGACAAACCCAGGCAGCCTGAGTCACAGTGGGACTCACATGGCTACATGGACAGGATGGCATATGAAGTCCACTTTATCTCAAGCCGTGGGTGTGAGTTGCACGTCTCTGGCCTTGCACATGTAACCCATACCGTTGCATCACAACAGTGCACTGTTCAGGGTGTATAAGAGTGCAGTGTTTTTAAGAGCAATCATTTTCTGTAAATTATTAGGGAACTTTTTCTTAACTTAAAAGCTTAAGTGGTGTCGCTGGACGGGGGTTAGTTGAACGTTGCGCAGAAACACAAAGGGGAGCTTGTTATCTTACCTACGTTGCTCTGTAAAGTGAATATCCGAGTGCTGAATGGTATATGTGTGTGTGTGTGTGTGTTTTTTACCCCCCAAGTTATATGCGACAAACTACCTTTGTGCAGTGCCTCAATGAAGTTACAGTGCTTGAAGAATTCAGGCTTAATAAAGCTTTTACTCGTAGTGGGGGGGGGGGGGGGAAAGCAGCATTTTTTTTCCCCCCAACGGGTCCACAGCACAGTGAAGATAAATTGGCATCTGATTAGTTCGTTTGGAAGATGGGGATCCATTATTCCTCAAAAGAAACTGGCTTCCAAATTAACGCTGAGATTTGGACTTTTCCAAGGTTCCATTTAAGACTAAATTATCTCACTCAGATCTCTACTCCCTTCAGTAAATTTTGCAAATAGAATCATTCTGCTTATAAATAACTGGAATGAAAGTTTAAATGCCCAGTTATGTGCCATACTATTCAGAAGTTACGATTACGTTACAGTTACTACAACAATTTACATATCTACAGCGTCTTTCAGTTCGAGAGGATGCCTCAAAGCGCTTTGCACAGCTGACTGGCAGCTCGAGTTGGTGGTGAGGGGTGAGGTGGAGGGGGTTGGGGGGGGTGGACAAGAGGAGGCACGAGAGTGGGAGAAAGTGCGGTCAAAAAGGATAAAAGAAGGTCAAAAATAAGGCAGGTTTAAAAGCGAGGCTGAAGGGGTTAAAGTCGGGTGGGGCTGGGGTGGGGGGATGAAGTTACTTAGAAATCCCAACCAATTCTTGAAACTTAGCGAAAGAAGCAGAATAATAATAATAATAATAATAATCCTTGCATTTAATATAGCGCTTTTCACGTCGGGAGGACGTCCCAAAGCGCTTCACAGAACACACTGTAAAGTGAATTGACTGTGTGTTTGTGGGCGAACGCGGCAGCCAATTGCGCACAGCAATGTCCCACAAACAGTTGTAGATTGAAAATGACCAATTTATTATTGTTTTTGGTTTTGGAGGGACTATTATTAGGCTCTGTGTGGAGTAAGGAAACTTGCCCAAGGTTTCGCCCTCTGCCGGGAATTGAACTCAGGTCTCTCGCTTGCAAAGCGAGTGCTCTAACCACTGAGCTACAAGACTCCACCTGAGCTACAGGACTCCACAGGAGTGAATAGCACTCAGCCCGTATCCTGCAATGAGATTTCTTTTCGCTGCGAAATGCAAGACAAAAAAGATTGCAAGTTTTAGCAATTGTCGCACGCTGAACCTAACTGCGTTTTTCTTCCATCCAAGTTCAGGTGCACATTTGCTGAAGTCCCTTTTGCTCCCTCTGCTGGTGTTTCAAGTCCTTCAAGTCCCGTCTCAAGAACCTCCTCTTTGACCGTGCCATCGGCCACCTTTCCCCCCCCCACCATTCCCCTCCCCTCCCTTCTCCCCCACTGACCCCCAACTCGGGTCTGAAATGTTGTACAATGTCCAGCGCCTTGGGACGTCCTCCCGACGTGAAGGGCGCTATACAAATGTAATCTTGTTGTTTCATCAACAAAACGTCACTCTGCCGACTGAGAACGCGAGAATCATAACATTTCAACTTGATAACACCCAGATCCGATAGTTCTCAGAAACAGCTGAGAGTCAATCGATGTGCACCAATTAACAGTTTGTTTTTTTTCCGGAAAACTAAACCTGGCTGGATAAGATAAAATCCACTCGCAGCAGTAAAGCTGCGTCAACCTCAGATAAAATCAGCACCAACATTAATGGCGTAACATACAGCTTCGCTGTTCCGAATAATACTCTGTGCGAAAACGTGGAAATCGTTAGAGCAATACAAATCGGCATCAAACATAAGAAATTCACGGCTTAATTTGTCGAATATACCAACCCTGGGTCTGGCTGTTAAAGCATACTGCACTTTACAGTGAATCCTATGAAGCGCTATGAAGGTTCTGTCCCAACAAGTTCGCTACCTTCTTAAAAATAAATAATAATAATTATAGTAATAATTTGGTCGCGTAATCCGCGGCTGTTTGTGGGACGCTGCTGTGCGCAGTTGGCTGCCGCCTTTCTCCCACAAAATACACAGTCAGTTCACTTTACAGTATATTCTGTGAAGCGCTTTGAGACGTCTCGCAGATGTGATGAGACACTATATCAAATGCAAGGATTATTATTATTATTATTATTAAAACAGCTCAGAAAACACTCATAATCCCATTAAAATTTCACTCCAAGCAATTGGAAACTAACAATTCTCCGCTTCCTTCTCTTTTTTCCCCCCCCTTCAAGATAGCCATCATCGTGACTGACGGGCGTCCACAGGATCTGGTGCAGGAGGCAGCCACTCGGGCGAAAGAAAGCGGCATTGAGTTCTTCGCGATCGGTGTGGGCAGGGCAGAGCTGAACTCCCTGCGTGAGATCGCCAGCGAACCCCTGGAAGAGCACTTAGACTACGTGGAAAGCTACAGCGCCATTGAGAAACTCTCCAAAAAATTCCAGGAAGCATTCTGCGGTGAGTAAACAAAAATAACTTACACTTTAACAGGTCTGTTGTTGCACTTATCTGTGCCAATGCTGTATACCTCTCGCTCACAAAATACACAGTCAATTCACTTTTCAGTATATTCTGTGAAGACCTCTCAAAAGCATTATATCAAATGCAAGGATTATTATTGTTATCATCATTATTATTATTATATCTGCCCAGCTCTCTCGGTGAGATCTTGTTCACTTCTCCAATTCCCTCCTCTCCGACTTCCCCAGCTCCAGCGTCCATACGCTCCATCCGGCTCACTCATAATAACTTGTCGCATAAAACAAAATACTGAAGTCGTTCACATCCTTACCAGGACTGAGCTTCACGGTGCCTGTCACCCCACACCTCGAAAAGCTCTCCTGGTTCCCAGCGGATTGACATCAAATCTTCAGTCTCACACTCTCTGCACGGCCTCTCCCCTCCCTCATCCTGTGACCTTCTCCACCCTCACTCTCCTGCACATCCCTCCGCTCGACAAACTCAACCGTGCTATGCGATCCTTGCCCTTCCCCACCCATCCACCCACCATCAGCCACGATGCCCCCACTCTCTGGTACTCCCTCCATCTGTGTAAAGCGTTTTGCGAATGCTTTACCCTACGTGAAAGACGTTAAATTTAAATGTGAGTCGTGGCTGTTGTTAAACATTAGTTGACTGTGTAACAGGACTGCAATGTGTGTTCTTGCACTGCGAGGGAAATAACTCGAATCGTGTGTTCCAGTGGCTGACCTGTGTGCCAGTGGGGACCATGATTGTGAGCACATCTGCCTGAGCATTCCTGGATCTTACAAGTGCGCCTGCAACGAGGGATTCACTTTAAAGCCAGACGGAAAAACATGTGGAAGTAAGTTAAAACCGAACGGGCATCTAAGCGTCGATTTTAAACCAAGGAAACTTGAGGTTTATTTATTATTTTTATAATTCCGTCCTGAAAAAGATCACGGTGGTTATCCATTGCTAGTTATTACTCATCCTGTCCTGTTCGTTCAATTAAACAGCCATTCATAGAGAGGGCATCTTAATGCAGTACACAGAGATCAGAGGATATTAGATTGTTCAGCAAACATTTTGCAATTAGTGTTTGAATCATATTCAAAGTATTTTGGGTTCCCACCTTGCACTTCCATGGATCTTTCACCTGAATGTTCTTTTTCACTGATTCACCATTGCTATTCATCTCGTTCTCTCGTTGCACATCTCAGCTCTTTACACACCCGGTCAATCTTCCAAGGTCATCATCACTTCAGCTAAGTATTTATATAAAGTACCTGATAACATGGAGCATGTTTATGCATCATAGGCCTCAAAAACCTTAAACATTCCTTTTTTTAAAAAATCTTATAAAATTATTTGGCAAATTGTTAAATTCAGGCTTAGCTTTGAGGTCAGTTTTCTCTAAGTTCTTACAAGAACCGTACAGGAAATCCGGCTTCTAAATGAAGGCTGCGATTAAGAATTTGCCAAATGCTGCTGAAATAAGTGAATCAAGACCCGGGTGAAATTTCTACCCTTTCAGTCCCTTAGTAATGGTGAAGATCTAGTATGAAGAGCTGCTGCCTCTTTTTAATCTGACTTGGAATGTTTTCCGCAGCTTGCAGCTCAGGAGGAGTAGATTTGGCCTTCGTTATCGATGGTTCGAAGAGCGTGAGACCTGAAAACTTTGAGCTGGTGAAAAAGTTCATCAATCAGGTGATCGACACTTTGGAAGTCGGCGAGCAAAGCGCAAATGTGGCCCTCATTCAGTACTCGAGCTCGGTCAGGACAGAGTTCCCTCTCAACAAGTACAAGACGAGCAACGACATCAAGGCAGCGGTCAAGAATATGGAGTACATGGAGAGGGGGACGATGACTGGCATGGCCCTCAAACATTTGACGGAAAATGTGTTCATTCCCTCGGAAGGAGCACGAGCAAATGTCCCGAAAGTAGCCATCGTGTTCACTGACGGACGGTCACAGGATTACATCAATGATTACGCGCAGACCGCTAAAGACCAAGGTGCAGTAACAACAACAACTTGCATTTATGCAGCGCCTTTCCTCCCGGAGCGCTTAACAGTGGCGGAGTCTGACCCCGAGCCAGGGGGAGAGGGAGTGGGGAGGTGACCGTAAGCATGATGAAAAAGAAGGTCTTCAGGTGGGATTTGAAAGTGGGGAGGGAGGGGGCAAGGCGGAGGGATTAGGGGAGAGAGTTCCAGAGCTTAAAGGTAATACAACAACAGGAGGCATTCACATGGGAACAGTCAATTCACTTTACAGGATGTCTCGAAGACGCGATAAGGCGCTATATCAAATGCAAGGGTTGATTATTAATGTAACTATTCAAGGTGCTTTATAGGGACCTGCGGTGGTAACCCAAGCGAGATGGGAAGCACAGAGTTAGGAGGAAGGTGAGCGTAAAGCATGGTCAAAGAGGTAGGCCTTTAGAAGGGACTTGAAAACAAAGAGGGAGGGAGTGGGGGCACTTTTAGGAGGGAGTTAATGAGCGTGGGGGAAAAGTACCAGAAGGATATTTAAATCAACAGCTCCCAGGCTTTCGGTGAGTTGAGTTGCTCTTTGCAGCACCACGGAATGAGGAGCTGCATTAGGTTAGTCGAGCAGAGGAGTGGGGTCGGAGGAGGTGAGAGAGTTAGGGGAGTGCTGGGGGAGTGAAGAGATTCGTAGGTGAGGTTGAAGAGTTTGAAATCGATCATCCTACACCATTGTCTAGCTGCGGTCACCTCAATTAAGAGCGCATCCAAGGAATATTTGTATCTGTTTGCAGGAATTAAGATGTTTGCTGTTGGAGTAGGGAATGCACTGGAGGAGGAATTGAGAATAATTGCATCAGACCCAGTTAAGGATCATTATCACTACACTGCAGACTTCAAGACGATGAACAAAATCGCTGATAAATTGCAGGTCAAAATATGTGGTGAGTATTGCGTGCGTGTGCGCGTGTGTGCTTTTTTTTCAATCTTCAAATAAAATAGGGGTTGACGTGAGCCTGAAACTATTTGCTTTTGGTTTCAGTGGAACCACCGAAGAAAGACCCTTGTGCGTGTGAGTCCCTGGTTGAGTTCCAGACCAAGGTTGAGAAAGCAATGAAAACACTGACATCGAAACATATCCTTTTATATCAGTTAATTTTCGACCCGCTAGACACGGTACCAATCACAATCAACTGCAACAACAACAACTTGCATATATATAGAGCTCCCCCCCCCCCCCCCCCCCGATGCAGAGTAGCGTCCCAGAGCGCTTGACTGTGGCAGAACACTTGATACAACAACTTGTATTTACACAGCGTTCTTCACACCAGGCAGCGTCTCGGAGCCTTTAACACTGGCGGACCCTGACGCCAAACCGGGGGGAGGGAGGAGATGACCTTAAGCACGGTCAAAGAGGAAGGTCTTCAGTCGTGATCTAAAAGAGGGGAAGGAAGAGGCAAGGCAGAGAGTTTGGGGGAGAGAGTTCCAAAGCTTCAGGGAGTAGTGGCTGAAAGCCCGGCCGGCGATGGTAGAGCGGAGGGGACGAGAGGCAAGCAGGAGGCCAGAGCCAGCGGAGCGGAGGCAGTCGGTAGTGGAGTGGGGAGAAAACAGGTCAGAAAGGTAGGGAAGTGCCATCCAAGCAGTTGCTGTGATCTCCTTGGAAACCATAGTAACATACACACGAGTGGAATGACACACTGGTAAGTCATTTCATATGCGCCTTTTTAGCACATTTAATCCAGTTAACTTTTGCATCAGCTTTTATTTTGGAATGACCAATGTTCCATAAAAGGGCCGAGAGCATTGAAACACGTCTGACAATGTTGCTTTCACTTTCTTGATCAGTATTCTCCTTAACTCCTTTTGCACTAGGTGCGTTTGCAAAGAAACTGGCAGCTCTTGAGAACAGAATCAGTCGTTAATATATCCTTGTGCAGTTTTCCTGACAGCCCTTATATCATGATGGAATAGCCCTGTAATATACTGAAATCTCGCTTGTTCAATATACAGAAGCACTTGAACTAGTGAAAATGCTTCCATTTATTATAAAGTGCCTAATCTAGTAACTTTCTATTATAGGAAACCTATAACATGAAGTGCAGTGGTTTTCAATGGGCAAAAGCACTGTGAATCAAATCCCCCCCCCCCCCCCCACCCCATTGAATATTTACAGTATGTTTTGTACATTAAAGAAGCAAGTCGCCACAGGAAATGTAGAACTTACTAAAACTCAAATTGTATTTATAATGTAATTTACTTGTTTGTTACTAGTACTAATTCTGTCTCTCGCCTACATTAGATTCCAAACCTATATTCTGCCCATTCCCATCTCCTGTAACAGCTTCCTTATACAGTATGGAAGACCTTCATTGTTGAACATGGCATCAAATTGAGATACCATGTAAATTCCAGCAACAAATTAGTTATAGAGTAATTAATCATAAAGTCTAGTTAGAAGAGACCCAAGGAAAGCAAATCAAAGAATAGTCAATTTATCAAATTGTTACTGACATTAGGCCGTTGCTTTTGGGGGGAAAAAGTGTATGTTTTTTTAATTTGGATATTTATGAAAGTATATTTAAGAGAAATCGGTATCAAATATTTCTAAGATGTTTTATGGTGTTCCGTCTTGTCATCTTGGTCAAACTTAGTTTGTGACGGAAATAAAACAGGAAAAATAAAAGTGGCCTAAAAACATTCACGTTCGGAGTGATGTTTCTTTCTTTATTCAGTTTTTCTTCCACCGGAATCAACCATTGGCCTACAAAACACACAGTCACCGCACTTTAGCGTACATCCCGTGAAGCACTTTGAGACGTCCTCCCCACATGAAATGCGCTGTATCAAATGCAAGGATTATTATTATGTTAACCCGATTACTGTGCAACTCAATTAGTTACAAACATGAGCTCTAAACTGGATGATTTCCCCATTTATACCACACAAGGCGAAGTGATGCCCAGTGCCAATTCCTGTAAGTCGGGTGACATGGTTAGTTAGTCCAGTCAGTTGGGATTGACACTATCTGTGCACTGAACAGTCCAGGTCTCATCATCATGACGCACAGGCACACTAAAGATCATTATAACGCACACTTGCTTGCAGTGTTGCAGCCCTCAGGAGATCAGAGATTTGAAACCATGGCTGTTTCATTCTCAACACTCTATTGCACCGTTCTGCTCTCATTAATTCAACTCCAGCAAAGTATATCCAAAGTGTAATACAACTGGGACGCAAGCAGAAACTCCCATCTGTGAACAATGGCCGTCTTTATCCAATTCACATTCACAGGCATCAACTGTCCCAACATTTGTGCTGATTTGACGCTAAGTTAGAGATTTTCCTGCATGGATGCGGATGGATTGAGAGGAACAGATGCTGGGGCAATGCCATCCTCCACAACAGGAACAGATGTTTGTTTGGATCCGGGAAGAGTTTGTATTTGTTAAACCACCATTTGACCCGTATCTTCTTTCCCCCATCAGAAACACCCACACTGTTGCCACTCGAAATAAAACCTAAAGTGATGGGGTTGCCGCTCTCGTTAAATAAAAGTGCTCCGAAGCCTCCTCCCATTTGGGAATGGTTCAGGAAAAGTATTCAAAATATTAGAAGCTACGTGGATATATGTGGGAGATCCTGTATCTGTCGGGACTTGAGGTGCTTTTGAAGGGCAGGAATTGAAACATTGTCATTTCATAATATCCCGCTTTCAAAGATATAAACAAAAATAAGGAATCATAAACATGGAAACACTGTAATAAACTGGTGAATGGACGATCACAGCAATATCAACAAATGCTTTGGCATTGGCGGCTTTGAAAGGCACAAGGAACTGCCCTGTTCTATTGTCGGTTGATGTTTCGGAGTTCCCAAAGTTACTGGTACAACTTGCGTATTATTCGATCAGCCGGGGTATCTGACACACACGCGCACGCACGCGCACACTCACGGGGAAACACGTCACTTAACAGCCTCCAAATCAGACCGCGAAAGAGTTCAGCACACTGTAGGTTTCAGCTCATCTAATAGGGTGTGTCCAGGTTAGCCAGCCCCCAGAGGAATGCATCCTACTGATCTAATTCTGGAGTGTTTAAGTGTTAAGCACAGGTTGGCAAAGGCTAAAACTCTGGGGGAATCGAGTGTGTGATCCTCCATGTAATGTTAGGCAAATTGGAAAAAATAAGCAATTAGTTTATAACAACAAGAAATTAAATTTTTTTTATCACACCTTTCACTACGGCAGGACTTCCTAAGAAGCTGATGTCCCAATATACTCTATTTATTAATCATTTTGTGTCCTTTTTGGCTAAGATCAAGTGTAGTTTCTGCATTTGATTATCGAAGTTGGCCCAGTGCAGAGATTGATCTGCCAACTGTTCAATTATTGCCTGGCCTTTTGGCAGGTCAATGGATTGTGGACATTGTTATTGATATGCACAGGACGTTTTTACTGAATCCTGGCCTTTTGGTTGCCAAGTTAGCTCACGGGTTTGGATTACACAACCTGTTTCTTTTCTGAGTTCTCCTTGTTCCAGGAAGAGAAGCCATAGGAAAGCTCTTGCAAGTCCGCCTCCAAATCTCCGTCCAGACCACACACAAAAACAATGATATTAGTGAAGAGATGCTCAATAGCAAAATCATTTTGATCCTTCAGTGCAATCCCAGAGACAGTCACTTCAATATTATTCTGCATCCAATAATCCCCCAGATAAAATCAGTCGTTCAACTTCACGGCTGCTTGTGGGGCACGGCTGTGTGCAAATTGCCTGCCCCGTCAGCTTGCAAAAGCGCGCAGTTGGTACACTTTACAGTAAATCCTGTGGAGTGCTCCGAGGAGTCATTCCTGACGTGGCATGAAAGGTTAGTGTAGCGGAGTGGCCAATTTAGGTTAGTGCTTTTGAAACTGCGTTAGAAAAGGTCTTTAAAGGGAAAAAAAAACATGTTTTGCAGGTCTAAATTAAAAATGTTGAAATTAAGCACCCGTCCAAAGCATTTTTTTTCACGTAAGTACCACAAAATCACACCTAATTAGGTGTGAAACCCGCCAAATCTGGCAACATTGTCGGTAGTACAGCCCCTTACTATCCTCCTGGGGGGTGGGGGGAAGGTAAGCGGGGTCTCCGTTGAGCTGAAGTGGCTCCAAGGTGACATGTTTGGCCATGGAATGTTGGAATCAAGCCATGGCTCTGTGGCGGTCTATCTTGTCTGGTTTCCGAGCCAGGTGGGTCTGCGGTACTCCAGGTCACTGCTAATGACAGCGCGGACCAACCTGGCTCATCGGCAGGACTTGGAAGGGCAGACCAGTCACGGCAGGGAATCCTCCCACTCAACTCCCATTAACCCTGCAAGCCGAAGCCCTAATGGGTAGAATGGTCCGAGCTGGACAAGCAGTGGGAAAGCTTGCCAGACAGTGCTATCAATAGCAAGCTACGTGGTTCTAGCTGGTCAGACTCCAGCGGTTACTCCGACGCACACTTTGCGGTTCCCCCAAGCCTTGGGTCTTCCCAACCTGCGCCTAATACTTTCCGGAATTGGGTAAGCAGGGTGCGTCCCTCTACAGAGAGAGAGAGAGAGAGAGAGCGCGCGCGCAATCCATTCCAGTAATCTGCCTCCGGGATTACCACGTGTGGGTGGGATGCGTGGAATTCTCGGTCTGGCGGTGGGGTGGGTGGGGGGGGGGTGGTGTGGGAACGCGGTGAGTGGTTTGGATAGCCTTGAGCACGGCGATCTATTCCGGGAAGCGCCCCCGAGACGCCTCGAAGACGTGACGGGAGTCGCCGCATGCAAACGCAAGCCTCATCATCATCATCACTCTCGCGACCGTGACCACGGCGGCGATGACGACGACGATGGTTTTTTTTCCCTCTCCCCCCCACCCCCACCCCCCCCCCCCCCTCCACCATGTGTCAGTCAGCCACAGAGGCTGGACACATCCCCCCCACCCCACCCTCCATCCCCCCCCCAAAAAAAAGCCTACAGTCCCTTTGGTCCCCGCTGACTACAAATCCCAGCGGGCAAAGCGAGCCAGGCGCGTGACGCACGCACGCACGCAAAGACGCACCCACGCACGCACCCGCGCAAGCGCAGTGCTGTGCCCCCGGGGTTAAGGGCGGGCGGGGGGGGGGGGCGGGGGCTTTGGTCGCTGTGCGTCTCTCAATGCGATTCAAATGCAGGCGATTCAGTTGAAACCCATCTTCGACTGCCCGTCCTGGTGAGTGGCCGCTACCGTCAGCCCGACCGCGCAGCCCGGGCCCGCCGAGCCCTCTCTCTCCCCCTCCGCTACACACCCCCACCCCCCCCTTCCACCCCTCTCCCTCCCGCCCGCCCGCCCGCCCTCCCCCGCGGCTGAGGCGGGAGAGTGAGTGAGAGAGAGAGAGCGAGGGAGGGGGTGGGGTGGGGGAAGCTTTGTGTGTTGCATGAGGCTGCAGCCTCCATCCTAGGCCTCAGCCTCTCAGCCCTGCAGCTCAGGCCCAAGGCAGTGAGTGTACAGACCCTCCACCACCACCTCCTCCCTCCCTCCACACACACACACACACACCACCACGGGGTGGAGGAGGAGGAGGAGGGGGTAATGGAGGGGCTTACACCCCCTGAACCTCATGACGGCTGATTTGGTCAGAACTGTTTCTCCATCATCATCACCACCATCATCATCATCTTATTATTATTATTAGGACTAAAAGACAGCGATGATATACAGTAGTTGGTGATTTTGTTTGGATGCGGAAAAAAAAATTCTTGTCTCTCCCCCCCCCCCCCCCACCCCCACCCCCATCTCCCCCTCTCTCTCCCCTCCCCCCCCCCAAAAAAAAAATACAGCTGCTAATAATCGCAATCCCTCCGTATGATGATAATTGTTTGATACGGCGCCGTATCGCGTCCTCGAGACGCCGTCGCGAAGCGCTTCGCGGGATCCGCTGTGAAGTGCACGTGACGGTACTTTTGCGGGCGAAACATTTCGGGTCTTTCATTTTATGAGAGGATAACCCCCTTCTCCTCTCCCCTCCTCCCCCCCCCCCCCCCCCCCGCCCACCCCTTTCCAGTGCTTTGCAGGACTTGTTGTCAAGCCAGCCCACTGCCTGTGCAGTGACAAATGCACAGTCACTACACTTCTGCAGTGAAGCACTTTGAGATGCCACGGCGTGCCGGATGCGTGGATTACTGTTGACTTAAAAATGTACCTTTGCTGCCCTTCACAGTTTTTTTTTAATCCAATCAAGCACTGGATTATGAAATGATTATACTGATCAAATGCAAAGATTATCATTGAGTGCAGTGGCTGTCAATATTGAAACGTTACTGTTTTCTGTTATGTTTAGTAACTGCATTTGTAGGGAAATATGGTAGCCAGTTTGTGCGGGGCGATGTCCTACAAAAAGACCTGCAATGAATAACTGATTTTATTTGGGGAATTGTTGGTTCGGATGCGGGGCGAACCTCCCTCTTCTTTTTGAATTGTGGCAAAGGTCCTTTAAAGTCCGTCAGAACCCAAGTTCAGGGTCTCATGTGAAGAATGGTACCTCTGGCAATGCAGTAGAATGTGAGCTCAAATTTCCTGAAACGGGGCTTGAACCCACAACCTTCTGACCTCTGGTTATAATTTACAGGGTTATTTCTTTAAAAAAATGGAGATACGTTGTTCAGCTCTACTTATTCAGCCGCCTTGCCCCTGTTCTCTGGAACTCTCATCCCAAATCTCTCTGACTCACGTCCTCCCTCTCTACTGAAAACCTATCTCTCTGAATACATCTTCAGCCACCTCTCACTTTACCCCCCTACTCCCACTCTGTTTGGACTCTATCTCAGTAAAGTGCTATCAGAAATTATCCTAAGCGAAAGGCACTAGTACATTCAAGTTGGATTTTTGGCATGTAGGGTGTGGTTTTTTTTTCCCCCTGCCTTTAGCTTGCACACTGAAAAATAATGCTTGCATTTGATAAAGCCTGTAATATCAAAATATTTTAGAGTGCTTTGCAGACTTTTTCCACAGGTAATTAATGTCAAGTGTGTTTGTAGGCAATTTATGCCGAGCATGTTCCTAAACCAGCTATAAAGTGACTAACTGATTTATCTGGAGAATTATTTGCCAGGACACATACCCTCCTTTTCTCTTTCAATAGTGTCATGGGATCTTTAATATCCATTAGACCAGGGAGATGGCGCTTCGGTTTAATATTTCTTTCAAAACAGTGTACTGCACTGCAATATCATCCTTAAGAGTCCAGCTCAAGTTCTAACCGTATAACTTGTGCCGAAGAGCCAAGCTGAAACTATTTGAGAACCGAGCAGTTACTGAGTTGTGAGTTGTGACAGTCATTTGCTTGGGAGAAGATCTAACTTAAGTTTCAGACAGTTTAGCAGTGCTTGAAACTACCTTGCCCATCTGGTTGGGCCGTTAATAGAGCAGGTTTCTCCCCCAAAAAACCTACCTGAGATCAGATAGAAAATATGATATAGGTCGTGCAACTGGAGTGCCTGGTGCTGACGCCTCTAAAAATGGGACAAAGACCCATCTGAAGAAATAGCTGTAACCACCTCCATTATCGTCCACATTACAGTGCCTCCTTTGGACTCCCCTGACATGTCTAGTTTGGGAACTAGAGTTCTAAGCAAAATAATACGGTAGTTCAAATGCCATAGATACGATGGGTCTGTTTTTTCCTGACCCAGCGATGTGTTGCAGATTCTGTGTTAAATATTGCTCCTTTGGGCCCACAGAAGAATGGGGAATAGTTGATGCAGACACTTGGTACCTAAAGGTGGAAAGTGCCTGAGAACTAATTTCCTCATCTAAAATTGTTGTTTCTGCAAAAAAAAAGGAAACGGAAAGTGCATTGAGTTCATCTTTGTATATACTGTACCTTGGTAGAGCCAATGGTATATTTTGATTAAGCAATTGTATTTTATAGAGATTACCTTGCACTCAATCCACCACCTCTGCTCGACTGGCACCGGCTGCCTGCTCGTCCCTTGTACCTTCCGCCCCACCATCAGAAGTCTCGCTTTCAGCCAAAACGCCCCGAAACTCTGGAACACTCTCCCTCAATCCCTGCGCCTTGCCCCCTCTCTCCCCTTTTTCCAAGTCCTGCCTGAAAACCTTCCTCTTCGACCGTGCTTACAGCCACCTCCCCACTTCCTGGTTGGGAGTTGGGCTCCGCCAGTATTAAGCGCTCTGAGATGCTGCCCTGCATGGAGGGCACCATATAAGTGCAAGTTGCTGTTGCATTAAGTAGGAGTGTAATGCATATGTTAATAAAGGGGTTTCATCTTGCACCACAGAATGGAAAAATGACACTTTTCAACATTTATCTGAACCCTGAGATGCGTTGAACCCTTCATTTCCTGATTCATCCTTTGCATTCTTTCGTCTCCAACCCGAGCACTTGAGATGATTAATCTCTATATAGAAATGGTGGATGGTTGGGGATGGCAGTGTTATTCTGTTTTCATTAAGTTATGTTTTGACCTTCCGAAATTAGTGACAACTGCAGGTCAACTGCCCAGTCACATAATTTGGAATGAAGTCCTATTGTACAACAACAACAATATTAAATTTGTAGAGTATGTCGGAAGGACGTCCCAAGGTGCTATTAGGGCACATGATTTGATCTTCAGGGGCCCTGAGTTCTATTACTGAGGAATCAGGTACTCTGTAGAATTTTAGCTGATGCATTGGAGATTATTAGCCAATTAAAAAATCGAAGCGGTATATAACAACATGCTCAGAAACTCTTGGAGAATTGATTCTCTGCTTCATTACACGGACTCCCTGTCATTCATGTAGCCATTTGAAAGTTTCTTGTGCTCTTGAGGTAATGGGTGGAGTGAAGAACTTTGTATGTAAATTTGCAGTTTGCAAGTAAATACCTTAAATACCTTTCGTTTGTGTGCTGATGATCGTTTCTAATTTTAGGGCAGGGAAGCCTCCCCCAGGACTTCATTTGGATGTTGTCAAAGGCGACAAGCTAGTAGAGGTGAATAATACTTTTTTCTCTTGGGTTGGGAGGATTCGTGGGCAGATTATAATGACACCGATTTGGAAAGGAATGCACCAGATACTAACCTGGCTATCTATGTCAAAGCTCTGTTGTAGATCTGAGACAATCCTGTGATTGTTGGGTCCAAATGGTGCAAGATTAAACCAAGCCATGAGTACATATTAGCTCATCGTGCGCAGAAACACTATGGGTTATAACTTAGAGGCACAATGTTTGCGATTTTACTTTTTCCCAAGGAAAACTTGTAGACTGGTTAAATGGTTTAATGTTATTTGTTGGCGTTAACATCACGCAACATAGCTTTAAAAAGCTGAGCAAACTGGTCATGGATATTGACTTCCAAGAATGTGTTCTCCATAGAAACAGGAGTAGGCCATTCACTTCCTCGAGCCTGTTCCACCATTCTATTAGATCATATCCCTTGATATCTTTACCCAACAAAAATCTTAGTCCACTGGAAAAACAATGCAAAAATTGTTTCCATCTACCCATAGTTCTTCCATTTTGTTGTACAGTTTCTTGCATTAGCTTTGGCGCTTAAAAATGGAATTTGCAAAACGCACCAGGGAAAAGTTATAGAAACCACTTAAAGAATATGGCAGCGTGATCTCTATATTTGGTCCTTTTTCTACAGAAACTGATTATTGACGAGAAAAAATACTACCTCTTTGGAAGAAACCCTGATATATGTGACTTTACCATTGACCATCAGTCATGTTCAAGAGTCCACTCTGCAATGGTCTATCACAAACATTTGAAGAGAATCTTCATCATAGACCTGAACAGCAGTAAGTGTTTCATGTGGTCCAGTTTTTACAAGAGATATTTGCAAAGGGTCAACTTTGAGGAGGTGGAGACGGTAGGGGATGGGAAACTCTGTTTCAAAGTGGAAGGTTTTTGAGAGACTTTATGAAAGCTCATTGATAAAGGCAAAAAATCTAGGCCTATGATTTGGAATTGCACAATATGAGAATTTTCATATTATTTGGATCCATTGAACAAGGTAAATTTTGGTGGCATTTCATGTTTGTTTTAAATTTTACTTGATTAAAACTAATGATTGGTTTCCGCGTCATTGTGGGTCGGTGGTCAACATCTTAACTTAAATATTGCCTTACTAGGACAGGGTGAATCAAATTGTTTGACAAGACAGGATAAACACCTGATCACAAACAAATTCTCAGCTTTATTTTGAGACCGTGCAAAGTGTTGAGCAGGGAACAGGTTGCATCGTTTTGTATAAGTATAGGCTGAAACAGGTTACATTTTTGTTTTTGAAACAAAACAGCTTGAAAGTTAAGATGAACAGCAAGTCAGGTTCATTCACTGGTTTGCAATATAATGATTACTAAACTGTGTTTTTAACCTGGCAGCTCATGGTACATTCCTGGGGCATCTTCGGCTGGAGCCTCACAAACCCCAGCAGGTTCCCATTGACTCCACGCTGTCGTTTGGAGCTTCAACACGAGCCTACACACTACGAGAAAAACCACAGACATTGCCATCGGCAATCAAAGGTGACGACATCGTGGAAGACGACGAACTGAAAGGGTTGCTGGGTCTACCTGAAGAAGAGACTGAGCTTGATGTGAGTCCTGGTTTCTGACCGTATCTGTCCCTTTCTGCTGGACATCAAGAACTCTCTGAACAGTTTAGGTTAAGGTTTGAATATTGAGATAGAAACAGGTGTAGGCTATTCAAACCCCGAGCTTGTTCTGCCATTTTATAAGATCTGCACCTCAAGTCCCATTACCCAGCCTTGCCCCATATCCCTTAATACCCTCACCTAACATGGTTCTAATGGAAGTAGGTTTAGAAAATAGTACAATTGCAGGACATCCTTCAATTGATGTACTTAGATTCGGCTGCTCATTTCATTATCACTGGTAAAGCTGCACAAATTTCACCTGCAAAATACAGTCGATGTGATAAGGCTATTATTATTGTTATTAATTTAAACCAGAAGAAAACAAAGCAATTCAGTTTTCTTACCCATCATCTTCGTTGAGGAAATCCAACGTTTGCTGAGGACTGTTATTTCACACCTTTATTTTCCTCCCCTCCCTAGAACCTAACTGAATTTAACACCGCTCATAACAAAAGAATATCTACGCTGACAATTGAAGAAGGGAACCTTGAGATCCAGAGGCCAAAACGTAAAAGAAAGAGCTACAGGGTATCATTCAGTGAAGAAGAAGAAATAATAAATCCAGGTATGACTATTTTGTGAATGTAGGGAAGTTTGAAATGCTTGCTGGGTTGACCGTAGGAATTGTAGCCTGAACAGTTTTGCCGGTTGACTGTGACAGAACAAAACTGTTGAATTTGTCAGTGATCGAACTGTTACATCCTGTATGTTCACTGAAATAGATGGACTTGCGTCAGGTTTATGTCTCTTTCGGTTTTATTGTTGTTGACAAGGTTGTTAACCATCATGTTTTTGAAAGGAATGGATTTGATCTGGATTATTTGGCTTGTATTCTTTCANTTTTTTTAATCCGTTTTTGTTTTAAAAGTACATTGAAAAAATTTCATTTTGCTTTCTCCTGTTTCGAATCTTGTTTTGATTTTCTTTTGACTGGAGCGGAATCATTTTTTTTTAGATTTGAATGTTTTTTATTTTAAGAACCAGTGCTGATGTCTTTTTTTTCCCCCTTCCCTTCAGAGGACGTTGACCCATCAGTCGGACGCTTCAGAAATATGGTCCAGACAGCTGTAGTTCCACTCAAGGTAAACAAAACCAGTAGATACGCTATTTTAATTAGACTTGATGTACAGATCAGCCATGATCTAATAGAAGGGCGGAACAGACTCGAGGAGCTGAATGGCCTCCCCTGTTCCTATGCTTTGTTGTAAATGATAATAGATTCTAAATAGATCTCATTGATTTTGCTGCTGTGGATTGATGCATTATAGTAATGTACTAACTAATTAACAAGTTAATTTCTCTAGCTGACAGTTATTTCTTTGGAGTTTGATACAATCTAAAATCAAATTCTGCAATCCACAACAGATACGATAGTTGATATTCTTTTTAATCAACAGTATCCCAAAGCATTAAATACAGAGGCAGCTGGATATTTGCATTTTTGCATTCCAAATTTAGTGCTGCGCAAATAATGCGTCATGATAGGAGCCATCTTACCTGTGACATGAACCCTATAATGTGCATAATCAAGCCTGGTTTGATATTGATGATTAAAAAAAAATTATTCTGTGAAGCGCTTTGAGACGTCTAGAAGACATGAAAAGCGCTATATCAAATGCAGGGATTATTATTATTGGTGAATGCAATCGAGAATTGTTTCCAAGTTAATTAATTTGATTATTTTCTCGGAAACTACAGAAAAAGAAGACCGAGAGCCCCAGTCCCCTGGGCCTGGACGATGCCGGGGCCAGACGTATGCAGAATTTCCCCTTCAGTGCTGGTTTATACGGTGGGCTGCCTCCAACTAGCGGTGATTCAACATCTCAGACACATGGCAATACAATGGGAACTGCAATGATAGGAGGACTGCCCATGCCATTCCCCAACCCTGCCCCGGAGGTGGACTTGGCTCCAGCAGTGGTGCCGACAGCTGTGACTATAAATGCGGTTCCGAATGCCGGTGTGTTCAACGCAGAGTCTGTTAATGAGCCGAAGAAGAAGAAATACGCCAAGGAGGCCTGGCCTGGCAAGAAGCCAACTCCATCACTGCTTATTTGATTATCTTTTTTCCTTTTTTTAAAAAAAACACAAAAGTCACGTAGGATTTGAGGACTGAGAAAGGCTTTCTATTAATTCTGTTAATAGGCCTAAGATTTATATGAGCTTTGTACAGTTGTTTGTACAGTTATGTAATAGATTCACAGCCTTTTCACACTTACTTGTTGCTTTTTAATCTCTAACCTGTATTTCAGTGTAAATTAAGTATGGCATTGCCAGTTTGTTGGACTAAAGTCACATAAACTATTTTTCTGCCATGTCTGCTTTGTTTTAATAATGTCCAGTATAGGGTAATGTTGGGGTTCCAATTTTTTTATATCCATCAAGATCTCTTCTAATGAGAGGTTTAAGAAGGGAAGCAGAGCTCGGAGAGGTGCAGTTATCTGTATGCTGCATTAAATATCCCAGTGATTTATAATGAGTCTATGAAAGAGCAAATTGGTCACTGCATGATCTGTATTGCTGCATTATTCCGGGTTGAAATTACCTTAATTTGTAGACAACCAGTTTCTGGAACCTCATTTTAATCAATGGTTTAAAGAGAATGGTTTCACAGGTTAAACAGGCTTACGGGCTGAAAGGTCTTCTCTTTACTATCCCTTTAATAGTCCATTTTAAATCCTGCGCTATCACCAATGTGCCTTTTTGTTTGGGGATAATTGATGAAGTAAACAAGTGGAATCAATTCCTGTTAGCATTCCATTGGACATCTTTGTGACTTTTCTCCATTTTTAAAGACATTATCTCTGTGCAAACATGTGCATCAAATGGCCATCAACCTCTGAAATCCATAATGCTAAAGTGATCTTTCAGCTCCTTTCAACGGTTCAGTTTTTCACGAAAACGACAGACCGATGAAATCCATTAAGCGTGGTTTTATAATTTTGTCTGCTTTGAGAAACTCTAATAAATATAGCATCTCGGGAATCAGAGAAGCTAAATGCTGCAGATTTTTTTCCATTTTTCTTTCAGATTGCAAAATGCAGGGAAATATTAATGCTCCAATCTTCCCACAAACAAAGGAAAATTCATTTGCAGGTGACATTTCCAGTGGGGATGGGATGGAGAGGCCTGCGATTATGGTCAGCATTTCCCTAAAATGTGTGGCTTATTACCAAAAAAAAAGCTTTATACAATTTTACTGAAGAGTAGATTTGATGGTGAAACCAGGTAAACAACACTGCTACTTTTAGATGTTTTATTTGTGTCCTGTCAATTTAATTTGACTTGACAATAAAAATAACTTTCAATAGATTCTGTGAACATATTTTAAATACTAATATTACACAAGTTACTTGTTGAGTTAAAAGTAATGCAGTTCATTAACAAAGTTGTTAGTTTTAGCCCGGCACTGTATTTATAAAGTTGCTTGCACTGCTCTGATGTATAGTACAGTAGAGTTTAATGTGCCCAAGGTGCATTTATATAAGCCGGCACTGGAGCTTGTTGTGCATGTCTTTATGGAAATCGGGAAGCTTAGCTGAATGACTCCTGTGCTATAAAGGTGCCCTTCAATATAGTACGTCCAAACCTGCCACATACTGCTGTAGGACATGGATGTAAGAAATACAACTAAATAATTGCCTTAAAAGGGAACAATTTATTAATTGTTGAGAATATTTTGGAGGTTTTACTCAATTTAAACCACAATGTTTATTTGGGGGAAGTAATTAATAACTGATCTAGGAATTAGAAAGCAACGACCTTTTAGAAATTTAAAATCCATAGGTGATAACATTGTAAACTTCTGTAAATCCTGATCAAATAAGATTGTTTTATTGGAACGGGTCCCTTTTCTTAATGTCCTTTACTTAATATCCAGAGATGTATTGATTTATATTTTCTCCTCGTGTGTAGTGCCTCTCGATTGGTTTCAAAATAATTACAACTTCAAGCATTTTCATTTAACCATATATTCAGAAAGCCCTTGTGGACTTGATAGGGCAACAGCGGGCAAAATGAGAATTTATCGGGCTGTATTATTCAGTGCTCAGTGTGTTAAGGAATATCTGCCCCTTTCTGTCCCATGAAAATTGGAATGATCACGATTGGGATATCCATTTTGTCTGCTTTGCGTCACTGTGATTTGTTTCGGTGAATAATCATTAGGTGCATTCAAATCCAATGCTGTGCAGTTACAGGTTGATTACACCTGACCATTCGCTTGTATCATCGGTTATGGGGCAACTCTCAATCTGTAGGTCAACCTAAGTTTTCGAGAACAGATGAAAATTCTATTCAGCTCAATCGCTTGAGCACGAGACTTGAGATCAGCGGGTACTTTATTCAGAACGGAACATGGTGTCCGACCGTAAGACACTGAAGGTTCAGCCAACCCACTAACTAACCTGTCAAGTGTCTGCCTCTCGACTGGAGCAGTCCCCCTAAAGCTCACACCAGGCAAGAAGCTTGGTTAAACAGAATCTGTAGCCAGCGTGCTTGCTTGGGTGATGGGTGCTCCACACAAAATGCAACAGCTGGAAAACACTAAGCAAGCAAAAAAGGGTAGAAAAAAAATAAGCAAAAATAAAACCAAAGGAAAGTGGTTACTTTTTTTTTCCATCGCCTATCTTTTATATTTTTTTCTAATGACCGATTCTTCCTTAAAAGTGCTTTTTTTTAAAAATAAATAAATAAAAAAAAGTTGGGAAAATTGCAAATGGAAAATTAGCGTTCCGTAGAGCTTTCAATCTCAGCATTCGACTTGAGGGCTATTGTGAACTCTGTCCTGAAGTTCACTGATTGTAAGTTATATAAGTAAGACGAGGAAAAATATTTGCGGGGGGTTTGAGGATCTGACCAAACATGGAAGTATTTTATCGCCGGCTTATCCTCAGTTTCTCAGTTGGCGAGGAGGGAGCTGTGTACTGTGAATGTGAAGGCTATATTTAATGTCTTTCCGGTTAAAACATGAGTTTGGTAAAACGTTGTTGTGTAGAAGAAAGTTCCATCGCTAAGAAATACAACTACCTCATTATTATAAACTTGTGGTTAAAGTGGTTTATTTAAGGGTCCTGTTTAATTAATTTGAGATTACTTATTGATCAAACCCCTGACCTGTTTACTGTGGTTGGGTAGAGATCAGTTATGTACTGTATTACAATGCACCTCCAAATATCGCTCAGTGGGTTTAATTGCAGGAGAGCCTGGCTATCCGAAGGTCAATATAGATATGAATGGTTTTATAAATGCTTATTTTACGTTCATGCCCTTCAATTTAATTCCAATTGAGTATTACACATTTACGTGGTCTGGGTGAAAAAAGATTTTCTGAGAGCAAGAATTCCAGTGACAATCTTTTGTTACTTATCTTCAATACATGATTTAATTGTGATGTTTTACCTTCCAATTGCATTTTTTTAAAAAATCCCCAGTTCCGTTATTATACGCGCAAGGGGAGTTACCACAATAATAATTATTAATCCCAGCATTTGACATGCACCTTTCACGTTGGGATAACTCAAATCACTTTGCAGGATTTACTGTAAAGGGAGGTGATTGTATTTTGTAGGCAAATAGGTAAGAATAGAAGTTTTGTAGCCTCAGTTTCTGTGATTTAAGCAACATTTAAATGCATTTTTCCCCCTGCGCAAGCCTTGCCCTTTTATCTTCAATTGACTTTTTATTCTGTATTCTGTTGCCAGTTTCTGACATGCACCTGATAATTTTTTACTTTTTTTGTCATGGTTATCTTTGTGTTTCGGTTACTTTTCTCCGAGGGGTTTCAAGAGCGATAATTGAAACTTCTAAACAAAGTTTATCCAAAAAACAGAACAATAGTTGTCTGGAGACTTTAGCACACTGATGTAAAAGCCTACAGTAACGTTTAGTTAGTTCATTCTAATGGTAGCAAACAGAGTGCAGAAATGGTAGCGTAGAGCAGAGCATCTCAAAGGAAAATTGTAGAATGTGAAGATAGCACAAATCCTCGTTTTTTAATGAGCAATGCATTTAGTTTTTTTTGTATAACCTTTCAATTCCATTCGATGTTTACCTTTTTTTCAACAAACAGTTCCCACCACGCTGTCCTATTTGCAGATTTATGTTTTAAGTTTGATTGCTTTCATTATTATCTTTTTAGCAATGATAGTGTGTGTGTGTGTGCGCGTATAGCTTTTACACTTTTATTTTTTGTGGACGAGAAACAGAAACTATATTAAAAAAAAGTTGAAATGGGCTGTTTTCTCCCTCCTGATTAAACTAAAAATTACATTGGGGCCTAGAAACAATTTGTTAAACTGAATGTTATTTGATGTGTGTTTACCAATGCCTTTTTTAAAATAAATAAATAAACAAACAAACTGTTATCTTGTTGAGTAAATACTGCAACAGCTCCCAACACTTCTGAGGAATTGTTTTCCGTAGAAAGGTAGGGAAAAATCAGTGGCTAAAATACTATTCTAGAATATATCTTAACAATTTAAAAACAGAACCAGAGCATTGTAAGTTCTCTTTTTGATTTTTTTTAAAAAAGAAGCAGAGAAAAGCCCGATGTGCCCCCATCAGCCTATGTATCAGTGCGATGTCTGTAATGCAGTTGTTTCAAATAACTTGCTTACCACTTGAAGGATTTGTTTGAACACTTACCTACATGTGGGCAATGCAAAATAAAATTTGGGTATCAATTTTGGACAGGTCTGTCATTTTTAACTTTGTGAGATCGATAAAGTGAAACAAGACGGTAGCACAACAACTTGCGTTTATATAGCGCCCTTAAGTTAAGTGCCTCTCGGAGCACTTAACAGTGGCGGAGCTTGATGCTGAGCCAGCGAGGGGTGTGAGTAGCGTTATGCGTGTCTCCGTCAGCAAGCGGCGTATACTGTGCTCTCCAAACAAATGTTTTTATCCAATCCTTTGTATTCTAGGAGAGGGAAGAGAGGTGGAATCCTTCTCATTTCTAATCGGATCCAAATTTCTAATTTCTTTATGGTCTAAATCAGATCATTTCCTTACATTTAGGTTTATACCTATATCTGTGTGTTTTACACACACGGATCATCTTATCCTCCCTTTTCCTGGCATAAATACGGATAATTATTTTGTGCAGGAGTAGCGTATCAGCAGCACAATAACACAATCGCACACATATACACAACACACACATAGAATTACATGCACACGCTAACCGCGCAAACACACACCAACGCCCATCCAGCCCAACAACATGTACACAAACCAACACACGCACACAGCCCAACAACGTGTGTATATGTAACACACCGAAATAACAGCTCAACATATCCACACACCAACACACAACCCAATACACATACACACATACAAACACACACAGCCCATCATATATGTATGTGTGTGTGTACATACATACACAGCCCATCAACACACACAACCCAATACACACATACAAACACACACACAGCCCATCATATATATATATACACACACATACACAGCCCATCAACATACACCAACACACAACCCAATACACACAGCCCATTATATATGTATATATACACACACATACACAGCCCATCAACATACACACACACACACCAACACACAACCCAATACACATACACACAATAGATACACAGCCCATCATATATATATAGACACATACACACACACACATACACACACAGCCCATCATATACATCTATATATTATATATATATATGTGTACACACACACATATACACAGCCCATCAACATGTACACACACTGTAGTTCCCAGTACAGTACGGGGTGGGATGGGGTGAGAGTGCGCGCCGGGGCTGTAGGGGGCGCTGTGGCTCTGCGCTCTCACTGCCCCACCGGAAGAGGAGCGGGTGTGAGGGACAGACAGACAGACAGAGGGAGAGGGTGTGAGGGGCGGAGGGCGGAGGCGTTTCTCGTTGGTTATTATTTTATTTCGGGGGGAGGAGGAGGCGGAGGCGGGTGTCGGGCAGCCCGCGGGGAGGCCGGGAACATGTCGCGGAGCCTGTGGATGGGGGATGTAAGTGTGAGGCCGGGGCCGTTGCTAGGGCATGGCCGCCCGGGGGGGAGGGGGCCCGGGGGGGAGGGGGCCCGGGCCTGGGGGGGGGCCCGGGGGGGAGGGGGCCCGGGCCTGGGGAGGATTGTGTGTGGGTGGGTGTTTGTGGGGGTGGGGAGAGGATTGTGGGGGTGTGTGTTTGTGGGGGTGCGGGGAGGATCCTGTGTGTGTGTGTGTGTGTGTGTTTGTGGGGGTGGGGGAGGATCCTGTGTGTGTGTGTGTGTGTGTTTGTGGGGGTGGGGGGAGGATCCTGTGTGTGTGTGTGTGTTTGTGGGGGTGGGGGAGGATCCTGTGTGTGTGTGTGTGTGTGTTTGTGGGGGGGGGGAGGATCCTGTGTGTGTGTGTGTGTGTGTTTGTGGGGGTGGGGGTGGGGGAGGATCCTGTGTGTGTGTGTGTGTTTGTGGGGGTGGGGGGAGGATCCTGTGTGTGTTTGTGTGTGTGTTTGTGGGGGTGGGGGGAGGATCCTGTGTGTGTGTGTGTTTGTGGGGGTGGGGGGAGGATCCTGTGTGTGTGTGTGTGTTTGTGGGGGTGGGGGAGGATCCTGTGTGTGTGTGTGTGTTTGTGGGGGTGGGGGAGGATCCTGTGTGTGTGTGTGTGTTTGTGGGGGTGGGGGAGGATCCTGTGTGTGTGTGTGTGTTTGTGGGGGTGGGGGGAGGATCCTGTGTGTGTTTGTGTGTGTGTTTGTGGGGGTGGGGGAGGATCCTGTGTGTGTGTGTGTTTGTGGGGGTGGGGGGAGGATCCTCTGTGTGTGTGTGTGTGTGTGTGTGGGGGGGGGGGGGGGTTGGAGCCTTGGTGCGTGTGTGTGGTGTTGGGTTCCTGTTGGGGGGGGAATGGGGTGGAGAGGCCTCTCGCAATGGACAACAGGAGTCAGAATAAAAGGCAACAGCTGCTCCCGGGACTGTATAATTTGATATCGCTCCTTATCACGTCATTGAGACGTCTCGAAGCGCTTCACAGGATATACTGTGACGAGTAGTGACTGCGTGTTTTGGGCAAAAAAATATGACGGTCTTATTTATTTTACTCGGGGTGGGGGTGGCAGAGGTGAGGGTGGGCCCGGTGCCTTTTCGTATATGTTGTTTATATATGTGTGTGTGTGTGTGTGTGTGTGTGTGTATTTTCCGGGGTAAGTGTTTTTAACCTGAAAAGAAAATCGTTCTGTGGAGTTTTTAAACCGGGCCCCTTGGGGGGCAGGAGGTTGGAGCGTGTCATTCCTGGTTAGATCTTTCCCTGCCTTCAGGATCCACTGGAAAAACCTATCCGGTGTCAGGTTACCCCCCGAACAGTCACTACGTTTCAAAGTAAATCATTACATGAAGTGCTCGGAGATGATTTGACGTGATTATCAGTGGCCATACCAAGTACAACTCTTGTGTTTACTTCACCCTCAGCCACCATTGTACGACCACACTCTCGTCTCTTGGTTAGAGACGTCCTGAGCTGATATAACTGTGGGCGGGGGCGGGGTTGGAGATGCTGTGCAGCAGTTGGGATGATAAGTCTTTTCGGGTGGATGTTCAAGATCCCACGACAGTATTCAAAAGGTTTAGGGATGTTTTCTGGCCAAGATTTCTCCACATGAGTTGCCATTTCACTTCATGGCAGTTTCTGGGACTGCCCGCAGGGTTTACCAACAAATGATAATCCTTATCGGGTCTTTGCGACGTCTCAAAGCACTTCACAGAACATCCCGTAAAGTGGATTGACTGTATATTTTGTGAGCGAAAGGCGCGAGCAGCTGCGTGACCAAATTGGCTGGAGATTGGAAGAGAATGGGTGCAGTCACAAAAAGGAACGCAGTCGCAAGGGAACACTGCTATTTTTAGTGGTTCGGTTCAAATAGCTTTCTTAAATATTAATTTTTGCATGAGACGATGACTAGAACCTAGATAGCCTTATTGTGTGCTTTCTGTTTTACAGCTGGAAAATTATATGGATGAAAACTTTATCTCCAGAGCCTTTGCGACAATGGGCGAAACTGTAATAAGTGTAAAAATTATTCGGAATCGAGTGACTGGGTAAGAATATGCTCTAAAACCTGACTTGTGATTGGTGTAGGTTTCTCTTAAATCACTTTGTTGAAATCTTCCTCTTTGCGTTGTGTCCAGTACTGAATGCAACAGTTCTTCTGTTCGAACACCAGTGTCTGATAAGGTGTCTGTATCTTAAAAGCTCTCAGTTGTAACCCGTTAAGCGTCTTTGGGAACTCTTAGAAGCAATGTCCTCTGAAGCATTAAAGGCCCTTCACACATCTTTGCCTATTAGCAGAGACATCCCAGCTGCCATCAGTAACCTCTGCCTATTAGCAAAGTGCAAAAAAAAACTCAAGCCCATACATGTCTGCCAACTGTGGGAAAGAAATACATCAAGTAGATGGACGATAATTGTTGAATAAGGTTATGTAAATAAATCACAGGAACAGTAGTGTGCAGATTTCCATCTTTCCAACTGGTCGGAACAAAGCCATGATTTTTACACTCGAGGGTTGTTTCCTGACTTTGACGTACAAGAGAGAAAAACAGGAACTCCTGAGATCTGTCAGGGTCTCTAAAAGCTGTTTTTTCCACCGAGGACATTTTTGTCACGTGAGCTAGTTCTTGTTAGTCTTGTTAGTTGGTTTGCAATGAACTATTTTTAATTAATTTATTAATTAATCTGTTTTCTAAAAAAAATACTTGCAGGACGCCAGCAGGTTACTGCTTCGTGGAGTTCACAGACCAGGCTGCGGCTGAGCGATGTCTGCTGAAGATCAACGGGAAGAAGCTTCCTGGTGCTTCACCTGTAAGTCCTTCAGTGAACAAGGACAAACCAAACCCTTGTTGTAAATGAATCAGTCAAATTCCTTTGCTCTGTGCGATACTGTTGCGTATATCGCTGTCTATCGTAGGGACAATGCTGTCTCCACAGACTGAGTTGTGTCAGCGCCTTGGGACGTCCTCCTGACGCGAAAGGCGCTATACAAATGTAATTTGTTGCTGAGCGAAGAGAGAATGCTGATATTTTACAACCAAATTGTTGCCAATTCCACAGTTTACCCAGCATTTAAACAGCCAATCCTTTTGTATGCAAACGTTGCTGACTGCGTTATTGTCTCAGTCTTATCAGGGTTCCGTGGTATGCGGCTTTGTGAATTCGGGGAGGCAGGAGTATAGGCAGCAAAGGATATGGTATGAAACTAAACTAACTAAGCTGAACCCTCACGTGTTAGGCTGATGTCAAGCATTAGTATCCTCGGGTACATGGATTAAAAAACTGAGAGACTCAATGCTTGGATGGTTTAGAAACATTGAAATTTTCAACACCAAAGGAGGCTGTTTGACTCACCTTCTCTGTGCCACTGTGTCTTTGTACACTGAAATTAATAACTGTCAATTACTGTTAATTACAGTCTGTTATTGCAGATAACTTTTGATTTTTTTTATTTCTCTTCCCTTTTGCCAGCAGCCCAAAAGGTTTAAGCTCAACTATGCTACATATGGAAAGCAGCCAGACAACAGGTAATTCTGACATTTTATTAAGAAAATTGCAGTTTCGATTTTTCAATACCTCAAATAATTGGTGAACTACTTGGTTCCACCGTGCACCCTCCCTCTCTGCTTTCCAAATCTTTCTAAAAACTTAACTTTTCAACTGGTCAACTCTACTATCCTCCTAACTTTCCCACTTTGCTAGGTTTGGACTCTATCCCTTTAAAGCTCTTTGATACGTTGCCCTATGTGTAAGTAGCTACATAAATGCAGGTTATTGTCATTTTCAGTGCTAATTCTACAGTGACACATAATTTATTTTGATTCACAAATAGGCAGATGCTAAGGAAGCTTCATATTTTTTAACACTTTGAAGACTTTTAATTTGTCCTAAATATTTCCACTTTTGTTAATAAAAATTACTCTTGCGTATTAATGCTCTGTTCTCCTGCAATTTCTATCCAGTCCCGAGTATTCGCTGTTTGTTGGAGACTTAACACCAGAAGTTGATGATGGGATGCTGTATGAATTTTTTGTTGAAAAATACCCTTCGTGTAGAGGAGGAAAAGTAGTATTGGACAATCTAGGAAACTCCAGGTATGTAGCAATGGTTCAATATTTACCTAACCCATTCGACATTCTGTGTGCTGCTTGTACCATATCATTTGTTTGTTTCTTCCATTGACAGAGGCTACGGGTTTGTGAAGTTCTCAGATGAAAATGAACAGAAACGAGCTCTCGGTGAATGTCAAAGTGCCATTGGAATTGGGGGGAAAGCTATAAGGCTGAGTGTAGCTATACCAAAAGCGTAAGTCATGTGGAGAAATAATTCTTAATATTTTTAATGCTGCTCACCTTTGAAATCCTGCGTCTTAAGTCACACTGTTAACACTGTGTTAATGTTAATTACATTTTGGTTTAAATCAGGTTATATAATCTCACACAGGTCCTGGGATTGTGAAGTTCTAAAATGGAAATGTTACAATAAATCAAAATAAATCCAATATAATTCTTTATGAACACAGTTGACAACAAGACTAGGCAGAAATCACCTGGCTAAAAATCAGCAAATTCACAGTGACACCTAACTAAATGGGTCTGTTTGTTTCTGATCCAGGATATGTAATTTGAGATATTGCTGATGTTGATGTACACCTAACGGTGGATGTTTTGAACTTTTAGAAATCGAGTGGCGAAACCACCAGAGTACAACCAAGCTTACACCTACAACTATAACCAGTATTACCAGCCATACCAGAACTACTATACTCAATGGGGATATGATCAGTACACAGGAAGCTATAGCTACAGCTACCAACAGTATGGCTATACTCAGAGTACCATGCAGGTAATGTTCCACAATGTCTGGAGACCTCTCTCTAATCTGTGATGGGCAGAACAGGTCTCACTAAGGTCAATAGGTTTCTTGTGAATTCTCCCCCTACAAATTTTTTTAAAAAGCTTTAGCCAAACTCCCTGGTAATTTTCCCTAAGTGTGAAGTCTGCTTCAAGTTCACGTCTCCGCCATCGATCCTCACGTTTCCCCTCTTCCCCTGCCAATATTATTATAGCAGAAACCATTGAGCCCCATGATGTGGTGCTTATGGTTGCACTTGCTCTCCATCACTTTTCTGGTACACCTCGAGTCACTATTTCGTTACGGTTGACAGCAAATACCCGTGAAACACTTTGATACAGCTCAGCGTTTTAGGGGTTCTACCAAATGCAAGTATGACTTATTATTTGTTCTGTTCTGCAGTGTTACGATGAAGTTGGCGATGATGCTCTGGAAGGTAAGCGCAAATATTCATCCCCTTTTCTCTCTTATTTCGTAGAGCACAACCGCAATCTTCTCTTTTATCATTGATTTTTCTCGTGCTCCCATTTGTTTGATCAGCATGCTTGCATACTGTAAACACTTGTAAAATGAAAGATCCTCGCCTTTTTGTGTTGTCAGTTCAGAAGGCTGATGTATTCTGAGATTTAAGTAACTTGGGATATCCTCCCGATATGAAAGGAATTATACAATGTAATTTTATAGTGTATTTTAGTATAAAACCAGCTGGACATGGCCTTCCTGTGCTGGTCCCATTTGTCTCTCTCTCTCTCTCTACGTGTATCAATTTATATAAATTTACCTTGAATTATTTGAAATAAATCTAGTGTTCTACACAAGCAATTTGATGTCCCTTCCAGTAGTAAAGCAATTCAGAAGGTGGGGGTGGGGGGGAACTAGATTTGTACTATCTTACCCAAATTGTTCCAGAGCCACTGTATTGTAATCCATGGCGACCCAACAGGAATTTTCAAGCTTATGTCAGAAGTGTTCAGGTTCATCCAGATAGCCTGAGATCTCTGGCAGTGAGTTCAAAACCTAGCGGACATCATTAAAAAATGGAACAACAAGGAGCAAATAGGGGGAAAGACTTTGGCTCAAAGGGGTATATGGAATTAGTTGCCTAGGAAGGCCATTGAAGCAAATAGTGTAAGCAGTTTTGCAATATAACTTGGATGTGTTTGTGAAGAAAGAACGGATGTAAGATTGCAATGAGAATGTTGGGTTGACATCAACCCAAAAAACAAGTCAGCTTGTGAACCCAAGTGACCTTTTCTTTTTTCTGCAATGTGTGTTTCTAACCTACCCAACACAAATGATGACTGTTCCAGCTGTCTGAATTGCTGTTTGTGCACTAAAAGTGCCTTTGCTTTTGACAGTTTTTGCAGTCGTCTTTTTTTGGTCAGCTGGGTGTCTGACACACGCGAAAACCCATCACTGTTGCTTGACAGTATCCAAACCAAACTGAGATTTCCATGCATCCCACCTATGCATGGAAATTCCAGAGATAGATTGTTGGGATGGAAAGCGCACTCTTCCTGGAGCTTACATAATCCCTGAAAGCATTAGGTGCAGACTTGGGGACCCCAGAGTGTGCGTTGGGATAACTGCTGGAGTCTCACCAGCTAAAACCGCATAGCTTACCATACAGAACATTTTCTGGCAAGCTTTCCCTCTGATTGTCTAGCGAGGACCATCCTACCCATTAGGGTTTTGGCTTGCAGGGTTAACGGGAGCTGAGTGGGAAGAGTCCCTGACCTACCAATGAGTCAGGCTGGCTGGGCTGTCATCACCAGTTCAGCTCCAAGGAAATGCTGATTTCCTCCCACCCCCACCCAAGGAGGATAGTCTATAGACCTATTTGAATAGTGGACTAGCGGTACATTGCAGTTCTGATTATGCATTTGTTTACCAATGGATCTTGATTATCCACACCCAGTGATCTGCTCTTGGCCCCTGGTTCAGTTTCCATCTCTCACTTCCTCCTCACTCAGCTACCTCCACCCACTTTACTCAGCAACTTGGCTACCCTCCACAGTCTTTTCTCGGATTACAGCCAGCATATATGTAACCTTTTCAGGATAACCAAACACACTAAACCTCTTCCATCAAAGTCAGAATGCAGTTACATTTTTAGACATTTTTAATGGTAGTAAAATTAAACATATGGAAATGAATGCATAATCCACTTGAAGTAATAAGCGTCATCGATACCATAAAATTTAAAGCAACGCACCGCATGTTATCTTTCATTCAAGACACTCACTGGGACAAATCCACCATTAAGTTCAATTCTTTCAAACGATGGCACACATTGTTTTGTTCCCGATTGTCCCTTAGTGCTTGTCCATCAAGAATGCTGCGTCTTTAGAATTGATGTAGTGCAGCCTCAAGTTATCTGTCAGTTCGAATGACTGACCAGAGGTGGTCCCTATCCATAATAACAATCCCACTGTATTTCATAAAAAGTGTATAAAAACAATTATATACAGTATTCCTCAATGAGTCTGAAACGAATGTAGTGCGTACCAAAATAAATACTATTTGGGGAATGGGCTAAAGAGATGGGCTAACTTTTGAGTAAACAGCTAACTCTAAAAGACTTGACACAGTATGTCTGCTGTGCTTACTAGATAGAGTTCCTATTTATGCTATGGGATGTTTACCTGAATTGTCTCATTAATGCACTGATTATGCTTATTTGGCTCAGTGCAACATGGGAATGTGCCTCTTGCCCCTCAAGGCTTCTGCTTTCCAGGCGTAATCCTTCAGCCGGGAGGATGGGGCGGACAGAATCAAGGACTTCTCTACGACTACACTCATCAATGCTGTTCCATGTTCTGCTGACAGGAGGCGCTTGTGCCTCAGTGTGTAAGTTGTTTTGTGTGTAAGACAAATTTAAGCTTTTGTCTCCACGGTCAGACACTTTAGTGGGGGATCCACTGGTATTAATGCCTTGTGGCTGGAATCCAGAAGCCTATATATTTAACACTCCCCTGTCCCCATGTGAAATTAGTGTTTGAAACACTACTGGGCCAAAATAATTCTCCTGGTTTGACCATACTTATTTTCAAGCAAATTTAGACAGTTTGTTTTTATTCCTTGGGTGAAGAACAAACATGCTCTCATTGAAAATGAATGAGTGTGCGATTGATGGTGATGATGATGATGACGACGATGATGATAATAATCCTTGTATTTGATACAGTGCCTTATCACGTCATTGAGACGTCTCAAAGCTCTACACAGAATATACTATAAAATGAATTGACTGTATATTTTGTGAGCGAAATTGCTGTGCTTCATAGATCCCCATGTGACAATCGGTCACATAGTGTGTCGCACTTGTTGAGAAGTGCAACCAAGAGGTGCAGTGGGGTCGTCTCTTTTGAGGATTACCATTTAGGACAAGTAGTGAAGTGAAGAACAGCATAGAATAAGTAATAAAAACGGAAGTCGCTGGGAACACTCAGCAGGTCAAGCAGCATCTATGGAGAGAGGAAAGTGAGTTCACGTTTCAGGTCGATAACCTGAAATGTTAACTCACTTTCCTCACTCCATGGATGCTGCCTGACCTGCTATAGTATTCCCAGCCACTTCTGTTTTTATTAGATTTCCAGCATCTACATTATTTTGCCTTTTGCCTATAGAATTAGTAATAATCGATCACTGCAAGGGTGACCTCTTTTCTGGGTTACTGCGCAGGTCATTGAAATTCCTTGAGATCCTGCATTGGTGGTAACTATGTTGTTCTTCAGTTAATAATTATGCAGTCTATAAAGAATAGAAAGGTGAATTGATAGGATAACAATATTATCACCGCAACAGAACTGTCAATTAGTAACGGTGTCTTATTTCAGTTGAGTAAAAGTTTTAGTGGGAGACCACCTTCCTCATAGGACTGACCATAAAGATTATTCCTGTGTTTCCAGTTAAGTGATTTAATTAAATATGAGTTCATGTTTAACCGGAGCTTAAACTGGAGATACCAAGAACAACGGGTTTCATCCAATATGAGTAGGATATCAAGGTATTAGCAGTAGATCATGATATTGAGCACTAATATTGTTACTGGCCTTATTTTTTCAGTACTTCGGTAACCATGGTGGCCTGTATAATGAGGTACTGATGAGGCCTATTCCCCTTGATAACATCTGTATGTGGCTGGTAGCAATGACCTTTGCCATCCTACAACATAAGCTGCACTGGAGATGAACCAAACTTGGGTTTAATCGCCAAGTGTCAAGATGTAAAGCCAGTTTCTAGTCCTTGACGGAGCGACTGGACTGTGTGCCGGTGACGAAAAATGTACTTTGCTGCTTGTTGTTTTTCTACCTGCAGTATTTCCAAGTGAAGTCAGGTTTTTCTCTGGTGAGTTCTACATTGTTGCTAAGAAGATGATTTCCACCAGTCATTTGTAGTAAGTTTGATTAAAGAAGCTGTTTTTTTTTAAGAAATAACTCTTGGTCAGGTTTCAGTAAAAAACAATGTTGCAAATCTAACGTTAAAACTAGAAATACTGAAAATACATCGAAAGCTAAGAGTAGGAAGGGTTCAAATGTTGGTTGAGCTGCTGTGAATTTTCAGCTTTTCTGTCATATTTCTTGATCTTTGTTTGAATAATCAAGGGATGATGCCTATTTTATAACAGAATAAAAGGCTACAAGGTTTGTCCGCAGTTCAGAGAAGGTTATTTCGGAAAGGTTTACGGAGGGCTAGGCTGCGTTGGGTCACCCTGGATTTACTGTAGAGGATCGGATCTCTATGGTCAAGTCCTTCTGCTTTATGACTCCTAGTTGATGCTAGTTACCCGGATCAATGGTCATCACACTGACCCTTCCTCCATGGGTGATCCTCTGCCTCAGAATAAAGGGGGGAAAGAGCGTAACTCAGGTGCAGAAACAAATGAAAGCCGGAAAAGAGACATGGTAGAAAAAACTTGAATCTAGTTTCATAGAATACCAAAATATATGCAAAATAGGAAATGAAAACTTTGAGGGGAAATTGAACAGGAACCTAAATAATGAAGATAGGGGGAACGGCAATGAAAAGATCAGGTGAAGAGGAAACGTGATGAGAGAGAGAGAAACTGTGACCAATATTGTGATGTGTTTGCCACAGTTACAATGATACTGCTTTTAATAAACGGCAGCTGTAGTGCCATAAAATCATTATAATCTTACTGTTGGTGTCTGGGCTTTGGAATTTTTGCTCACTTGTAGGAGACAAAGGTGGATGAGTGTTCTCCAGTGGAGTGTTTGTTGAAGCACTGCCGATTTAATGTGTTGTTTTCCAGACCCGCTTCCTCACTTAGATGTTGAAGAAGCCAACTTGCAGTTTATGGAGCAGAGTGAAGAATTCTACGATGCCCTAATGAATTGCCATTGGCAGCCGCTGGACAGTGTCACATCTGAAATCCCTGCCTGATCCTGCGGATTAGAATCGGTACAGTAAAGTCACCGAGCTACCAGAAGCTCCACGCCAAGTTATTCTCTCCTCATTGACTTAGAATGCGGGGAAGACAGGCCCCATCGTTTTGTTTCTGCCTCAAAAGATTGGCCAGTTTAGACCCGCAGTCGTTTGATGTGGTTTTTTACTGTGACAAAAACCAATCAATAATGCTGTATCCTCTTGTTCTTGTTTTTGTTTTGCAAAGTTGGCGATAGCAATTGTTCATAACGATAAGTTCTTCCTTTTAAAGTACAGAATGCGTCCCAAAGATGTTGGCATTAGGGCTTTTTACAATAATTCCTTCATGGTCCCAGGATTGTTTTTTTTAAATATAAATATAATTGTGGGCAATGGGGAGAGGGAGGGGAGTTTGGAGGAGTGAGTTGTATGGTCAATGGGGTTCGATGTTTTTATAAGCATCCTGAACCCATCAGGTTATTATTCACAACCTTCCATTTCTACTTTAAAATCCATTTCTACTTTAAAATTGTTGGCAATTTTGACTTTTAACACAAAATAGTTCAAATACCCATTGACAAATTCAAGGGTTCCTCAAGATAGATACAGTTGTCAACTGAAACGATTCATTTTATATTCGGGAGTGAGAATTGTGGCATTTGCAATGCAATGTATCAGTCATCTGACTTAACAGCAAAATATAAAATTATTCAGCACACTGTATGTATAATATCAATAACTCTCATATTGCTAACTACCCTTAAACCCTCATTTTCCCTTGAAGTCAAAACCTTTTATTAATCTTTTAAAAAAATCAGATTATGATCGTCAGTCTTGTTAGCATTTTCACATTCTGTTGTAGTTCAGAATTATTAAAATGGGGGCGAGGGGGGACGACTACGACAAAATTCTGATTATCATGGGTTTTGCACATCGGTACAATTATTCTTTATCCTCCCTCCTTCCCTCCCCAGTGACGTTGCAAGGTAGTGAAGTTGCAAACTTGGATAGATTGTAGGGTCAGGTTTGCGCTGTGCTTGTGAGTACAGCATTCTATCGGAAAAAGAAGGTAATTACGTCCTTCATTGACCCAGGCCAACTCTACAAACACACTTTAAATGAATAGCGTGTATATATAATTTATGTAAAATTGACACTCTCCCTCAAAACAGATTATTTTGTTATTTAATTTCCATTTTCCTTGTTCAAGGCATTTCCAGCTTAGATCTGAGTTTTGAGGCCCCGATTGCACTATGACTTGTCGATACTACTGAGTTGCAAAGGACGCTTCTGGGATCTTGACCTGTGAATTAATGACTGGGTACCACATATTGTGATATTCTTTGTTCTCAAAGTGAAAATGTTAAGTTTGAATTAACTAAGCCCTACTTGCGAACATGTTTTAATTTTTTTTCCAGTTGTACTTTCTCAAATTTTAGATTTTATGATATCCAGAAGCCTAGAAAAACAAAAAAATATTTTGTAAAATAAAAACAAATAAAGGCTATTTTCTATTATGATTCTTTTCTTGTTCGTTCATTTAAGCAAAAGTTGTACAAGATTCACATGGATCAATTTGGTTTCACTCGCAAAATACAGTCGATCCACTTTACAATATATTCTGTGAAGGAAATTGAGACCTCACCTATGTGATGAGGCTCTATATCAAACGAAAAGATTATTATTACATGATACTGGAATAGAATCAGATTGCAATTGCAGACTATGATTGCACCGCTAGAATTCAACTCCAAGGTGTCGTGCACGTTAACTTTTTTTTTGATAGCTTCTAAATATTCAGGAGCAATCGAGGAGCACCGGAATAACCTGCGGGATTTTTCCGCAAAATGTGGAACAGAAAATAAATGAGGCTTTTTTCGCGAAAAGTATTTTTTTTCAAAAAAAAAAAAATGCGGAGTCACACAGATGTCAATCGGATACGTTTGGGAATAAAACACATCGTTTAAAAATAGAAAATCCATAAAGGACGCGTTAAAACTTCCTCTGTTGCGAACGCGACCGTTAATGACAGCGCGAATGTCGAGTGCTGAAGCGATGTGCATCGTGTGCTCGAGTCTAGCGACGGGTTGGTCTGTTTTGAGAGAATAAGCGGAATGTTCCAGCGATGGAGGTTTCATCGCCGCATCCGAGAGACGTAGGCGTTCACCTCCAAATACAGTCACCGCACTTCACGGTACGAAAACGCCCCTAAAGCACCTTGAGACGTCTTGACAACGTGATGCTGAGGTGGGGGGGGAGGGGGGGGCGGTGGTGGGGGTACGTGAAACGTACGTATCCTTGTACGGTATCTTACATTGGGCGCGAAAACGACGACGACGACGACAACAACAACAACGGAACAAAAAAAAGGCGGGGCTGGGGGTGGGGTGTGTGGTGGGGCGAGACGGAGGGATGTTGGGGCGGAGGAGTGCGCCAGAGAGATTTGGGGCGCAGTGGCGGACGGGCGGGTCTTTTAGAGACGAATAATAATAATAATAATAATAATAATAATCCTTGCATTTGAAAGCAGTAAAAGGGAGGTTACGGCTACGGCGGCCGAAGAAAGACGGCGCGGACGAGGCGGGTCGCACCCGGGTTTGATGGGTCGGGGTGGGGGGGGGGGAAAGCCCTTCCGCTCCCCATCCATCACCTGCACAGAGAGAGAGAGAGAGAGAGAGTCTCAGCCACAGAGAGAGAGGGACAAAAAAAGGGGGCGGGGAGACGAGTGGCCACGCCTGTGATTGACAGGTGTCAGGGAACAAGCCCCGCCCCCCCTCCCGCAGCATCACCACCACCGCCGCCGCCGGCGGGCGTCACGTGACAGGGGCGGCGCGCGTCACCACGCTGACGACGTGCCGCTGACGGGGTGCGAGTGCGCGCGCGGGGGGGGGGGGCGGGGGAGGGGAGGGGCGTGGTTTGCGGGGCGGGGAAAGAGGCCTTCCTCTCCCTCCCCTCCTCCCTCCCCCGGTGGTGACGAGAGGCGGTAAGTCGTGGGCCCCGGCTCGGGGGGCTGTCGGTCACGGCAGCGGGCGACGTGGGGGACGGGACGCGACGCGCGGCGACGGGGGTGTGCAGCGGCCGAGGGCGGTGGCGGTTGGTTCGGCCTCCGCTGAACGGTGAGCCGCCGCTGCTGTGGCGAACCCGCTGCTAAATAGTGAGCCCCGGCGGCGGCGGCGGTTGGGTGGGTGGGGGTGGGGGAGGGGGGAGCGCGCAGGCGCAGAAGGGATGACCGGGCAAGAGGCGTCGCCCTGCCAAATAGTGTGACCTGTGGGCAGTGGAGGAGCTCCTGAGCAGATTGGGGTTGGACCTGATCGGGTTCACTGTCGCTGTCGCTGTCGGCCTTCGCTCAGGGCCGTATGATAACGATGGCGCCCCTTTCACTTGCGCCGACAACAACAACACCAACAACAACAACAAGATTCCATTTATAGAGCGCCTTTCACGTCGGGAGGACGTCCCGAGGCGCCGGACAGTTGGGTCGGGACCCGAGCATTGGGTGGGGGATGGTCAGGGTGAGGGGAGGGAAGGGAGGGAGCGAGGAGGGGGTAGAGAGTCGAGAGGGGAGGTGAAGGCTGAAGGTCAAAGAGAAAGGGTCTTGAGACCGGCCTTGAAGGAGGAAAGGGAGGAAGCGGCGAAGGCACTGGGGGTGGACGTCCAGAGCCTCGGGGCTGAAGGCCCGGCCACCGATGGTAGGGTGGTTGGGGCGGGGGATGTGGAGCAGACCGGAGCCAGAGGAACGGAGGGTACGGGCAGGTAGGTAGGGGGATAGTAGGTCGGAGAGGTAGGGGGGAGCGAGGCCGTGAATGGCCTTGTAGGTGAGGATGAGGATCTTGAAATCAATCCTCTGGGGGATGGGGAGCCAGTGGAGGCGAGCGAGGGTGGGAGTGATGGGGTCACGAAGCCTGGTGCGGGACAGTACACGAGCTGCAGAGTTTTGAATGACCTGCAGCTTGTGGAGGGAGGTGCCGGGAAGGCCGGCGAGGAGAGAGTTCCCATAGTCCAGCCTTGAGGTGATAAAGGCAAGTGTCCCGTCCTCCTCGTCGTCAAAAAAAAAATAATGATCTCTCCGCGCACCACCAAATGTTGGCCATTATCAACCCACGACCGACCGTCTGTCTGTGTGTCTGTGTGTGTGGAGGGGACGCTGCCGGGCGCCATTGGCTGCCTGTAAATATACGGTCAATTCACTTTTGCGCTCGATTCCGTGCAGCGCTTTGAGAGGTCGAGAAGACGGGAATAGCGCACTTTATCAAATTCAAGGGTTATTATTATCGTCGTCGTCGTCATCTCTAAATTGTTCTCCTCCTGCGGAGCGCTTCGGCGGGTCTTATTTTTTCTTCTTTCCCCGTGGAAGGTGCCCTCTCCTGTGTCGTAACGTAAGCGGTTCTGCGGCCCAAATTGCTTGATGTAACGACAACAATAATAATATTAATAATAATAATCCTTGCGTATTATTATTACATTGCATTTGATACAGCGCCTTATCGCTGTCCTCGAGACATCTCAAAGCCCATCCCAGAATATACTGCAAAGTGAATTGACCGTATATTTTTCGCCCACCCCTTTCCATCGGGCACAGCTGCAGTTTGGATTGAATTTATTGCTTTGCTATCACAATTGAGTGCCTGTCCTAATTGTGCTGCAAACGTAGCAGTGCGCTGGATTTATTTCATGTGTGGAAGATTCGTATTTTCCAACAGCATCCAGAATAAAACAGCCATAATTTTTTTTAAAAAGAAGTGGGTGGATGGGTTTATTTCAGTTAAGCCCGGCCTGGTCAGTTTCTGAATTACACTTGTGTGAAACCCAAATGCAAGTTTCTCAATGTACGATATTTCAAAATATATCTATTCCTTCAAAAAAAATTGACCAAAGGGCCATACGAGTGAATGTCTCCTGTCAGAGCTGGTCAGGAAAAGTGCTAACTAGCTGTGCTTATTTTGTGAAATCCCCTAATGATTTGTTTTCTCTTTAATTGTGCCCACTGTCCTCCTCAAGTCTTACGCTGCAGCGAAGAGCTCAACAATTCTGTTCAGAGTGTGAAATGTTTATTCCTATAGTGGGCTTTACTGGCAAATTGCTTTTATAAACAAATATTATCAATCATCTTTAAAGCAGTCGCTTGATATTTGTTTACATTTGTTGTTAGAATCAGCTTTTTTTAATTCCTTTATGAAATAATATTAATGATAATCCTTGCATTGATATTACAGGGATTTAGAATTTGAATTTATATCGGTCAGTGTACATATTTTGGAAAATTATTATAGCATTTGACCTAATATGTTAGCTTGCCTGCATAACAGATCTGGGCACAGACTCTGAAAAGTATGGTATAGGATGTTATGTAGCAAAAACAATACCATGGCCTCTGTTATTTCAATTAACCACTGGATTAAATTGCATAATGACCAGAATCTATCTGAAAACACGATTTATTATGCGTTTGCTTTTAAACTTGATTCGGAAATCGATCGTCGGTACAGAATATTAGGTGAAAAGTGACTGCAGTTGTATTAATTACTGTTAATTGCCTCACTCTTGGTGGCTGCATTGAGCAGTAACACACACAGATTAAAAGTTCCATTAATATACAATTGTTTCCTACAGAAATCTCTCCCAAGGTCAGTGGATATAAACAGCAGAGAGGGTATTGCATCTGGAAGAATCCTTTTGTCCCTTAAGGGGGAGACTGTATTGCTTCCTTCAATTAAATTCTGCTTGTCCTGAGTCAACTGAAATGGTGGCACATCTACAGTTTGGATTGAATTTATTGCTTTCTATCACAATTGAGTGCCTGGCCTAATTGTGCTTCAAACACAGCAGTGCACTGGATTTATTTAATGTGAGGAAGATTCATAATTTCCAACAGCATCCAGAATAAAACAGCCATATATTGTGGTGCGTAAATGGGTTTATTTTAATTAAGCCTGGTCAGTTTCTGAATTACACTTGTGTGAAACCCAGCAACACCCAGTCAAACCCTCAAGCAGAATTGGGGTAAGTGAATTGTATATATCAGATTTAGTCTTTGTGTAAAGAGATTGACCTGAAGTAAGCTTCTTGCCCAGTGGGAAATAAATTCTGTACAGTAACAGACTACCAGTGGTGAGCAGTAGTTGGCAGTAATGCTTAAGATTTGGTAGTCATCTCCACTGATGCAATAATTGTATGGCATTAAAACTTAATGTATTTAGTATCATTGTCGACACCCATTGGGTTAGCCTGTACTTAATTGGTATGTTATTCCTGCTACAAGCAGAATTCAAACACAAAACGTTTATGATTTTATTCATAAATTAATATGAGCATTTACTGGTCCCAGGAAACATTCACCTCAATTTCTATCTGACCCAGTTTTCTGCTTGTGTTCTAAAGCAATGAGTGCGTTGCTGTGCTTAACTCTGGAGGAGACTAGAATGTGAAAAACTGGTCATCTTTGCCTTGACGTTGCAAGGATTATAAAATGCTGCCGGTCTCTGAATGCTACTGGAAAATAATTCCTTGCATCACAGTCTAAATTTGATTTCTTGATCTCATCCTTGTACAGATTTGAAGAAATAGCTGGTGTTTTCTGACAGTTCATCCTTTCTCGTTGGGTTGGTCTTGACTTTGATTGCTGCCATGTCTTACGGCAGAATTGAGGACAGCCGGTTTAGCTACCGCTCTCAACCTAAGGACTTCAACAGCCTGATTCAAACATGTACCGCCAACATCCAGAAGATCTCGCAGCACAGTAAGTTGCAATGAACTCTCACAAGGACCTAGAAGAACAAATACTGACATCTCTATGAAAGCCTCCTTAAATAAGCGTGGCATAATGGGAATCCCCTTGCCACATGCATGATTAACTTTTCTGATGCGAGTAAGCTTTAAAATCATTATTTTATATGAGCAATATAATTTCCTTTCAAAGGAATAATTAGGGTTTGTAAGTTTGATTGGTTTTATAGCATAGTCCTATAAGAAGATCAGTAAGGTATAGCACCCCTAACCTCTTTCTTCCCATCACCACAAAGTATGCTAAGGTCCAGTATCACTACAGGCTGACCCTGTTGCTTTGCATCCTTGTTGAGTGTGGGTCTACTGTGGATCTCCACGGGGCAGAAGCGCAGTTCACTTGGCTTGTGACTAACTGACCTGGTGCACTTAAAACGGCTGAGTTCCAGGTGTCAGATCACCACTGATGTTGCTTCCTGCACACTGCCGACAAGTGCTCATCACTGAAAGCACCACTAATGTCACTTCATCCACACTATGTGCAGGGAACACCACTGCCATTGCCTCATGGAGGAAGTGACATCAACAATAAAGTCCTATCCGTTCTACATCACACACTTATACCAAAAAATGAAGGAAAAAAAAAAGATTTTGGTTTGTTCCTTCCCTGAGATAATGCAATATAAATATTGTGTTGGTTTTTTGTTTGCTTTGTGCAGCTGTTAATCATGTGGGTGTGACTCACATCACCAGTTCCAGTCCCACTGGGAACCTTCTGTTGCTGACCATGCCTGTGCAAATGGCTGGCTGACTGATCTCAATAAGAAGAAAAGTCAACTTTGTGTAATGTGGGGGGGGGGAGAATAAAACAAAAATCAGTGGAATTCACCGTGAGTGAGTCCGAATCATTAATACAGAATCCCATTGTCAACTTAGCTATTTCATTCCGCAATGTTTGCATCCAGTTTTAATTTAATGGAGTCTTACTCATGAACCTAATGGCCTATGCTGTTCAAATCACTGACTTTACATTTTAATCACTTGAAGTGATTAGGCGGCCACTTAATGCAAAGACGCAGCTGGAATATTCAAAAGAGAATTGGATCGTTTTTTTAATTCAGCAGGGACTTACAGGCACACAAACGGAGTAGAAGTTTTTGCATTGATTCAGTTGATGCAGATGATCTCTGTGCATCTGTTGTGCTTACTTGGCTAAATGGCTTTTGTTTGCTTGTCTGGCACCTCACTTTGCCAAGGCCAAGAGTACTATTCCTGCTGGTTGCCCGGCTAAAATCAAATATCTGAGCACACACGGCACCCTGTCTGTGTCCTTCTCAGTTTGTGTGGTCCCTTTGCACCATTATTTTAACGTGTCATCTAAATTCCTGTAATACAGTATTATGTTTTTTTTAGCTCATAATAAATTTTAAATGGCTATATTTAGGTTGTTACATAATTAAACGTTTTTAATCTCACCTCTAACTTGCGTAGATCGTTGATAACTACCAGTTGATACAGGGCAACCCCATTATAATGCGCCTTCTTGTAACACACGGTCTAGTTTTATAGAACCAAACTACTTCATTACAATGGTCCTGTAAGCCACAGGCTTCACTCGCTCATCACAGAATGGATTGACTTCAAGATCCTCACACTTGTGTTCAAATCCCTTCACTCTCTGACACCTCCCTACCCCCCCGACCTCTTCACTCCCTAATCCATCACCCAGTGCCTCCGCTCGACTGGCACCGGCCTCATGCTTCACCCCATCGGAGGTCGCGCTTTCAGCCACTACGCCCCGAAACTCTGGAATACTCTTCCTCAATCCTCTGCCTTGCCCCCTCTCTCCCCTTTTTGAAGTCCTGCCTGAAAACCTTCCTTTTCGATGGTGCTTACATCCCGCCCACCCGGCTCAGAGTCAGGCTCCTCCACTGTTAAAGCGTTCCGAGACGCTACCCTGTGAGGAGGGCGCTATACAAGTGCAAGTTGTTGTACGTTTTTTTCATATCAGGAATTTGCTGTAGTTTAGTTTCATTGCGAGGTCGATTTGACCATGTTTATTATTGCCCACAGCCGCACAGATAAACACCATGGTGCAGCAAGTAGGAACACAGCGCGATACAAGCGAGCTTCAGGACAGGCTGTAAGTACATGAGGAGCTTGTTTGTGATCATCTATACCTTATCCATATAATAATATAGAGTATAGAGATAGCCTAGTGAGTAAAGGCACAAACGATACAGACCAGAAAGCTGGCAGACTAGAATCTGGGTGTGTGCTGAGTTAGCTGGTCTCAGTGACCTTGAGCTGAGGGAGGGCTGAAATCATCCAGGGCTCCTTGATTACAATCTGTTGACGCTTGCTGGAAAGTACAGAAGTGTGGAGATTGGATGAGGACAGAATCGCACTTAGCTGTGATGTCCCTGTGGTTGAATAGCTAGCTGACATTCACCGTCGAGGAGCATCATGCATCACAAATGGTGACCACATGACTGTGGCCAATATTTGTGAAGCCGAACAAACCGCATGAGTCAGCAGCTGCCAGACAGGCGATGAGAAAATTAGCCAAGAAGTTAATGCATAAGTGGATAATGCATAGCGTAAAAGTACCTCAATATCCATTCATTTATCTGACCAGAGCAAACAACTTGTGTTCAAGCATCCCATGTGGCCCATCTTCAGTCAATACATACCAATATCTCTGTTGGCTGAAGCATAAAAGGAGTAAATGGATCTTTCTTGAAGGAGTGAGATCTGGCTCGTGCTTTCTCCTGGGGCCTGGCTATGATGCGGGCAGGTGATTTGGATATGGCATTGGGAAAGGATTAACTATTTATTTGCAATGGCTGCAGTTAAAAGGAATCGCAAGAAAATTGCTCCCAATTTGCTTGCGTGACTGCCTGGCTCAGTGGTAGAGCTCTCGCCTCTGAGTCAGAAGGTTGTGGGTTCATCTCCATGTCGGGAATTAAACTCCCACAGGCTAAGTTGACACTTGCACTGGACAATGCATTGTCGGAGGTACCGTTCTTCAGAGGAGACGTTAAACCAAGGTCCCATCTGCCTGTTCAGGTGGACATTAAAGATACCATGGCACTACTTGAAAAGAGAAGGAAGTTTCTCTCTTCCCCTCCCCCCCCCAACCCCCAGATGTCCTGCACAACAATCCCCTAATAAAATTGGTGACTCATTCCATGGCCGATTGTGGGACACCACTGTTCAAAATTGTGCTGCTGCGTTTGCCTTGCAAATACACAGTCACTTCACTTCACACTAAATCCCTTGAAGCGCTATGAGATGTATTTCCGATGGGGTCAGGTGCCATTGCAAATGCGAGGATTATTTTTTTTTATTAATTTCAATCATGTTGCCTTCCCCTTCCTTTATAGACAACAGTTGCAACACTACACAAATCAACTTGCAAAAGAAACAAACAAACATTTGAAGGATCTTGGATCGCTACCTTTGTCACACTTGGACCAAGTGAGTAACTACCAGAACATTGCCTGGCATCTCATTTTCACTTTGGTACCCTGGATTTGAATTCAATCCAAACCGAACGAATGATTGGTCTGGTTATGAAAGATTTTATCTAGCTTTCAACTAGCAATTCTTATACTCTCCCGGTAAGACTCGTATTAAGCAGTAATTGCTGCTAACTTGACCATCTCTTTCTCAGAGAAGTTATAAAGAAGAGAGTGGAGTTGGGGATAGGGTTGAGAAATTGTAATGTTACACATTACATTCGGAACACTATTCCAAAATGAACATTGAGACAAAACGGGAAATTTCTTAATTATTGTACCTCACACATTTAAAGCATGCCAGTGGTTTTTAGCACTGGTAACGTTGTTTTCACAAGGGGGAAGAGTTTGGTTTCCAATTAGAGTGGGTAACTGTAGCTGTAACTTGAACTGGTACCATTTCCTTTGTTGACTATCCCGGATAACTTATTCCAACTCGCTCCACGCGTCTCTCCGGTATCTTCAGCGTCAACAGAAAATACAGAAGGAGCGTCTAATGAATGAATTCTCCACCGCTCTGAACAACTTCCAAGCAGTTCAGCGGAAAGCTGCAGAGAAAGAGAGGGAATCTGTAGCAAGAGCAAGGGCGGGATCACGCCTTTCGGTAAGTTTTCTGTCGCAATACAGTATTCTTATATCTATGTTAGTCTTGGGCAGAAAGCGGACACTATATTCGTACAGTATTATTGGGATCCACCATCAAACCCTAAATCTTGTGTAGATTTCCTGAATTCGGCTTCTCTCTTTGTTAGGATCTTGTGTGCATCAAGCTGATTCTGTGGCTTTGTTACTGAAATTCTCTATTAAACCGTTTCTAGAGTTGCACCGATGACGAGCACAATGAAGAGCAACTGGTTTCATTCGAAAGGTGAGGATTATAAACTCGCAGATGCTCTTAAAATATTGCGCTGCTTGAAAATATTCTTCATACTCATCCTTGTAGCGCCTTATCACGTCTTTGAGACGTCTCAAAATTGACTGTATATTTTGTAGGAGAAACGTGGCAGCCAATTGTGCATTTGATTGGGAGCACATTTGATTGATATACTGCGCCATTCACCAACTCAAACCCAGCCAGACTAATAGGATAAGGTTAGAGTGTGCATAACTGTGAGGCAGTCTCAGCCAAGTCCACTGTGGGTGAAGTACAAGGGACAAAAGTGTCCACAAAGTTGACATAAATTAGCATTAAATTACAGAGCGGAATTGACTGATAGAGCAAGGATGGATAGATGGAAATTCATACCCGTGCAGTAAGGTTGCTTTGCTGAGTTTGGAAGCTGAGCAACATTATTGGGTTGTTGTATGGGGAATTGCAGCTGAGCTAGGATTACTTTGTGTCCCCCAAAAAAGAAGAAAATTGTCCTTTTTTGTTCCAGTAGTGAAGACTGGAATCGAACACAAGCTCAAACTCAAGATGTGGCAATAACTGAAGAAGACCTGACACTCATCAAGGAAAGGGAGACTGCAATTAGACAACTAGAGGTTTGAGATTACCTATTGAAGCATATCTTGGGGTGCAATTGGGGTGGGTTTAATTTTATTGGTATAACTCGATGAAGATTTCAAAACACTTACATTTCCTCTGTCCAGGCAAACATCTTGGACGTCAACCAGATTTTTAAAGATTTAGCCATGATGATCCATGATCAAGGAGACATGATTGGTAAGATCCTCTGTGCACTGCTTAAAACTTACGCAAGCAATTCAATAGTATTTCTCTGCATCGTGAAAGCTTTGCATTTGATGGGTTTGTGTTGTACTCGGCTACAGACAGCATAGAAGCGAACGTGGAGAGTGCGGAGGTACACGTTGAACAAGGAAGTCACCATTTGCAGAGGGCGTCTTATTACCAGGTAAGATTAGCACCATGCTTTATGTAATGGATTGCAAGCGCGATGAACAGCAAAGCAACCCTGTGCTGTAAGTTCTTTCTCCTTGTGTATCATAGTGTTATAAAGGGCAGCCCAATGATTTCCATTACAGCGCACTCTTGCAGATTACTTCTCCCAACCAGTGTTGCTAATTTCCGATCAATGTTGTTTAGAAACTCTCTGTAGTCTTTCGTATAAAAAGGGACCTGTATAAACAATCGTATAACATAACGTATATTACATGTGAATACTGATCCCGTTGTTTGATCGCCCAACTTGTCTTGCTTGGGTACGGATCCCTGACAGTCCAGCACCTTGGGACTACCTCCTAACGTGAAAGGCGCTGTACAGAACTAATTTATTATTGTCTTCTAACTTTACCACAGTATTCTGCCGTGCTAACTTGCTTTTCTTGTTTGTCCACAAATCAACAGTGATCCATGTTGTATTATCATCATTATTATTATTTTTCCCCCACACCCCCAGAAAAAATCTCGCAAGAAGTTGTGCATTCTGATCGCAATCCTGGGTGTGGCCGGTGTCATTCTGGGGCTCATTATCTGGTGGGCAGCCAAATGAAGAGCTTGCACACTTGAAACGCGCCACGGGAAGAATTGGGACCTCAAGCAAACTGACTGTTCTCTCTGACGGCCAGTCCACTCGTCGCGAGAGCTCAGCTTACAAATATTTAGAGAATTACATGAAACAAAACCGTCGTTTTGAGAGTGACGTGGGCGGGGTGGGTGCGGGGGGGGATGTGGGAGGGGGGGCGGGGGGAGAAATAAGTCGACGGTAAAACAATTTATGTACAAAAATCAGTTTATGTAATTAACGTTTAACTTTCGTTTTAGTACATTTGTGCACTGTATATTTAAAATCTGCTGCTCGTCTTAAAGCAATGGCAATTAACATGTAAAGCTCTAATATAAAATTACTTTTGTAATGATGTGCAAAGCGGTTTTTGCATTGTTGCTCGCCTATATTTTACACTGGGAAGGGGGTTGAAAGAGTCAGTGACCCTTTAGATTTGATCCACGTATACATTTTTTTTGTCCTTCCGCTCCTCCAAACCTCCCGGAACCCGCGGATGCAATTTCTTCCTTTTTTTTGCTCTCTCTCTCTCTCTCTCTCTCTCTCTCTCTCTCTCTCTCTCTCTGTGTTATGGGTCAATTCAGGACAAACGGTGTAAAATTGTGATGATCAACAATGTAATTTCAAACTATTATTATTATCTGGCGGGTTTTGCAAAGAAGTTTTTTTTTTTCCGTGATGAAACTCTTTCAAACGAATGCAATTGAACCAATTTCGAGATCGTTTGTCAGCTTTTAATCGCGCCACAGTTTTACTCGTAACTTGAGTCACATATTGCAAAGGGAACATTTTCCCCTCTAGTCTATGTATCAGAATATAACAGCAGTCTTCCATATGTTCAAAATGCTTCAGTTTCAATGTGTTCTTGATGTGGTGACATTCCAATACCATGTCCTGGTATTCTTGTATTTATGTCTACACAAACTCCCAACGTTTTCTAAGCAGTCCCTGTATCATGGGGGCCTTCAAGAACAGCAATAGGTAATCATGGCTCCCTTCAGGAAAAAAAATTCCCCATCAAAGGGTCTTTTATCCAAATCCAGGTTTAAAAAGAGATTCAAAAAGAGTTTAGTTTCTGCAAAACATGAATACTTCACACAGCATGGTGCTTCTCTACTTGCAATACTCCTTTTTAGTAGGTTTTCCTCCAAAGCATAGTGCAGAAACTGCAGGAGCTATTATTTTGCTCGAGCGACTCAGTAAGAAATGATTGCAGTGGCTGCTAAACTCAATCCCGTGCTTTGAAATATTAACAAAGTTTTTTTTTTGTCTGACACGCGTCAGTACCTATTTTGGAACTGTCAAAACAGGATCTAGTCTCGTGAGAGTGTGTATCTATCCATCTTCTGTGTCTTTTTAAAAAGATTTTGTTTTGATCTTTCATTCCCTTTACTAGCTGTTTAGCCACCGAACAGATCAGGGAGTTGGGACCATCTGGGCCATAGACTGAGACCTGTTATCGGTATGGATTTGTAGTTCGCTGGAGATGTTCACTAGGGGTGGGGCAAGATGATTGCATTAGTTTACAATGTAAAGGTTTGCTCGACTACAGCGGAGCCTTAACATTAATGACTGGAAATGCAGTAGTTTGAGTTGGCTGTGTTTGTAGGTTTAAAATCTACCAACTTTATGTGTGTGTGTGTGTGTTGTGTCTTTCTCAGTCAAACCAATAAGTTGAAGTTGCAATTTGGGATTTATATTTTGTCGCAAGTAAAAATCTGTTCTGAATGCCGCAAAACGAGATGAAGTGTGTGGCTTTTATTTATTGAAGATTATCTAGAAGTAAATTTGCAGAACCGGAGGAAGGGGGAAAATTGAACCAAAAATCAATGTCTCATTAAGTGTAAATTAAATATTTTTTTGGGGGGTGAAGGAGGGGTAGAGGAGGAGCAGGTCAAGAGCTCATTCTCAATGTTACCACTCGGTCAGTCTCGATCACTGACCTGGACCTTTTATCTATGAAGTTTTTGACTGTTGCAGCTCAGAGATGAACGTTTCACCCACAAAATATACAGACAATTCACTTTGCAGTATATTCTGCAAAGAGCTTTGAAATGTCTCGAAGACGTGATAAAGCGCTCTTATCAAATGCAAGGATTATTATTATTTATTTGAATATGCCATGGATGAAGCCCACAAATTTTGCCGGATCCAATACAGTGAACTACTAACCAGCGTTAATTCTGTAGCCCTTTTTTTCTTTCGTGTGGCAATACGCAATAAGAAGTAGGAAACCAAATGTCTGCTCTATTGTAACCATTCCATTCTCTGTATGTTTATAACTGGGAGATCCAGCATTTGACTATTGAAATTTTTGACATGAATAAATTTCCCCACCCTAATCTTGTGTGTGCGCTTGTACCTTTCATTCAGCAAACTCATTTGTACAATTATCCAAGACCTTCACTATGTCAAATAGACCATTCTTGATTGATTTTTATTTTATTACAAACCCAGGGGGCATTGAATGAATTCTTTCCTTTTTACCTTTCCCCAATGTATTGCGTTCTCCGAAGTTACTGTAATGTAACTGTATGTAGCCTGTCAGGTTAAATTGCATTCAAAGAATGATGACTAGTCTCTGTAGAAACATGATATTCCCATTTGCTCTCCGTCCTCCACAAGTGAGCAGTCAGCTCTCACTGGCATTGAAGGTGTGTGGTTAACAGGAGCCTCATACTCCAGTGGTGCATAGAGGATGCGAGCACTTCAACAAAGAAGAGCACACAAGGTAAGTGACCTCTTTATTGTTGGATACCTGGGTCGCTTCTTTGATAGCAAACACAAAATGCTTTGTGACCTTTCAAACTTACAGGTGCTGCCTCAAGGGCAAGGATTGTTATAATACTGCATGTGTATGTGCTGACTCTTCGTTCAGGGGAGACGGCTGTTTATTAACCCCAGTCCAATGCATTGGACCATTTTGAAGGGTTGCAGTATGCTGCGCTGGATCTACATGGCCCTTCCGTGTCCAACCCGAATATTGCATCACTGCTTACTGCAATGGGAAGTCTATTTTTCTGATGATGCCGAAGTTGCCCATGATGAGGAGGCAAGGAAACAGGACCCAGTTAACATGCTGATAAATTATATATAGGCTTGACATATATATATCTATATATATATGCTAACTCCCTGCTCGCTGGACTTCCTTTTATTTATTCATTCTGAATAGTTAATGCAATACAGTGTTGGGGCCGTGTGCCTTTCCTGCGTAGTGTGTAAAATGGACACGTAGTATTAACTGTGTCCAGTAGGGGGAGACAGTGTTTCACTTAGCGTCAACACGTTGTTTTTAAATGTACAATAATAAATCCTCTGTGATTTTTTTTTAAAAAAGGGTCAAATTTAATGGTTGGAGCAAAACCGCACCAAGTGCGCCCTTCATTATAATAAGCATTGCGCTGGGTGTCCGTGTGTGTGTCTGGCAGTAGCTGAGCAACGTAGAGCGGAGTTGAGTTGGCTGATGTTGTTGGGTTGAAGGTACAGCCAGTGGTGGAGTCAACCACTCTGTTAAAGCCTGGGACGAAAAGCGTGGCCAGAGTAGACCAGCTTATTCTCTTAGCCGAAATTTTATATCAGGAACCCTTGAACAGAGGAACCAAAGTCACTTGTATTTTGTATTTTAAAGCGTGTTTACTTTATAAGGCAGAAAAGGTGCATCAGTTCAATAACAATAATAATCCTTCCGTTTGATATAGCGCCTTATGACGTCTTTGAGGTGTCTCAAAGCGCTTCACAGAATTTACTATAAAGTGAATTGACTGTGTATGTTATGGGCGAAACATAGTTACAGCAGGTAAGGTTATGACCAATGATATTTGCTGTTATGCACACGTATATTAATGTTACTGTAACGACAATATCGAAGTTCATAACAGTAGGCGAGCTTCTCTTGCTCGGGTCCCTTCGAGGATACATCAAGTAACGGAATTAACGACCATGTTGAGCCTTTTATTACTTGTGAAGCAATTTAACTCTTCAAGGCACACAGTGGAGTCCTGTAGCTCAGTGGTTGGAGCACTCGCTTTGCAAGTGAGAGACCTGAGTTCAATTCCAGGCAGAGGGCGAAACCTCGGGCAAGTTTCCTTACTCCACACAGAGCCTAATAATAATCCCTCCAAAACCAAAAACAATAATAAATTGGTCATTCAATCTACGACTGTTTGTGGGACATTGCTGTGCGCAATTGGCTGCCGCGTTCGCCCACAAATATACAGTCAATTCACAGTGTGTTCTGTGAAGCGCTTTGGGACGTCCTCCCGACGTGAAAAGCGCTATATCAAATGCAAGGATTATTATTATTATTACCATCATTTTCCATTACATTCTATCCAATGTTATACCAACTACCCCATAAGATACGTCACACTCAGACATAAACTCTACAAGTTAGCTGTCTCCAGTGTCTACAAATCATTCTAATATGAACCATTGCGTAAGCATTTCTAGCTGAACTAGAATAACACAGTATTTTAGGTAATAATATTTTTGATTCCAACCGAGAGAAAACTTATTTGTAAAAGTATGTGCTTTATAGGCTTCATTCGTAATTACTGCAAATCAAAGGTTTCGCTGCTCTTGGGTAGGAAAGCCTTGTGTTCTCTCCCAGCCATCCAGCTGGCTTGTAAGTGCCACTGACAGATCTTAAGCAAGAGTCTGGAGCAGTAAGTTTTACTTCTTTAGTCAGTTCCATTCAGCAATAAAATGCTTTGCATTCTTAGAGGCTGAGAAAACAGTTTCCATCCATGGTCAGAGAAACCTAGAGTCCAAAAAAGTTTAACGCAGGAAAGAAAAACAGACTTGCCTTTTATAGCTCCTTATTCTAAAATATCTCAAATATCTGTGGCCTGGCTCTGTTAGTCACACACTTGTCCCTGAGTCAGGAGATTGTGGGTTCATATTGCACATCGGTCTATATTGACACTCCAATGCAGTGTGCGCATGGCTGGAGGTGCCATCTTTCCGATGTGACATTAAGTTTCGCCCACAAAATATACAGTCAATTTGCTTTACAGTGTATTCTCTGAAACACTTTAAGATGTGATAAGGTGCTATATCAAATACAAGGATTATTATTATTACTGTAAATCTAGAGCCATATGCCTGTCCCGGTGGACGTTAAAAGAATCCAGTATTTGAAAAGAGAAGAGAG